TGTTTATTCCATTTCATGTTCACCCAATTTTTCTAATTAACAATGTACTTTTTTTGGAAACAGCATCTTGTTAAGTCACTAAGTTGCCCAGGCTGGGCTCAAGTTTGCAATTCTCTTGCCTCAGCCTCCTAGAACACTGAAATTACAGGTATGCACCACCACACAGGTTACACTATTTTTGTAGCATTTTCACCTATGTTGTCCTTGAATCCAAAAGCTATGAAAGTGAGGTCCACATCCTGTTACTCAGCAGCATTTGTCTAATGCCCCAGACAAAGGAGGCAGTGGGTAGCCCATGCGTTGAATGAATGAATAAATGAATGCAGCTTGGATTAGAAGCAACTTCATGGGCTTTGGAGTGAGACAGACCTGGGTACCATGCCTGCTTCTCCCTTTCTTGCTTCTGTGCTCTGGAGCACGTTCAGCACTTCCCAGCTACCTCAGACCAGAGCCTAGCTCTGTGCCTCTACTGGCTCCTGACTGTGTGATCTCAGGAAAGTTACAATTTCCTTGCCCATAACATGGGAAATATAACAGTTTCCATGCCTGCTAGGGAGGTGTGGCCCCTCATGAGTGTTAATGACCTGGGCTTCACTTCCCATCTCTATGAAGAGAATGCAATTTGCAGGGTGGTTGTGAGAACTCAGTAATCCCATTAAATCATGTTTTTCATGATTACATTGAATTTCCAGGGTCTACTGTGTTAGGGTTTAGGCCTAAAATGGGCCCAGAGCTTCATGCGTTTGGAAGGTGATTGGACTCTGGGGCTCACAGATGACTTGCTGTTAGGAGGCAGGGCCTGGCCGGAAGGAGATCACAGGGTGTGGCCTGGCAGGGTGCATCTCCCTCCCCCTCTCCTCCCTTCCTTTCTGTTTCCTGTCCTCCATACCGTGAGCAGCTCTCCCTCTTCCCTGCCCCTCTAGCATGCTGTTCCTTCTTGGGAGCTGGCCCAGCCTGGACTGAACTGTAAGCCAAAAGAAGCTTCTCCTCCTGTAAATGGTGGATGTCAGAAGCTGGGTCTCAGCCACAAGGCAAGTGATGAAGACATTACCACACTATTGTGGAAGAGGGAACATCCATTCAAGGTCCGCCCAGGTCAGACCCAAGCACAGCTTTCCAGCACACATGGGCTCTCTACCTACATTGTACACACTTCCGCTGATCTCTACAGGCTGCTGTTTGTCCGAGATTCTTGGGAAGGATGGAAGGGAAAACTTCATTCTTTTGCTGAAAAATGTCTTCCTAAGCAGTAGCTTGTGAGCCAGGGTAGAAGTGCTATAAAACCCAGGCTGTGGTCCCTCCTCAGAACTCCTGATTCAGGGACTCCAGGTCAGGCCAGAGAATCTTGAGGGCCCGTTTAAGAAGGAAGGAAATGCTGGGACAGAGACTGGAGAGGGCATGGAAACCCAGAGGGACAGGAAGGGACAGCAGTAGGCCCAAAGGGCCCAGGAAGGTCACTGCCAGGGGGCAGAAGGGCACCAGGTCAGGGGTGAGCTCAGCGTTTCCTGGTGCAAATCATCTCAAGATGAAATAGACCAGTCCTGTAAAACCAGGCGTGTACCCCATAGGACTAGATAACTTGAGTAGCCTGATTACTATTTTTAAAAATGAAGCTGGGCATGGTGGCACACACCTGTTATCCTAGCACTCTGGGAAGCTGAGGCAGGAGGATCTCAAATTTGAGTTCAATCTGGGCACTTTCCTTAGTAACTTAGGGAGACCTTGTCTCAAAATAAAAACTCAAAAGGGCTGGAGATGTAGCTCAGTGCAAATATCTTAGGTTCAATCCCCAGCATTGGGGGAAAAGATGAATCCATAATTTAAACATTTCAAAAGAGAAATTTCTGGGATTCTGATGGCTTTGCTGGAGAAATCTACTAAATGTTTAAAGAACACCAAATCTACACAGTCTCTTCTAGAATGTAGAGGGGAACTTCTTGCTCTACTTGATGAACCTGATATGAAAACCAGACAAAGCTTTAAAAAGAAAAAAAATAAGACTTTAGAAAGAGGAAGAAGAATTAAGAAGTGTTATGTACAGGTGCCAACTCCCTGTGGTGAATGTAATCATGTACTGTAAACAAGGCCAAATAAAAATTTTAAAAAGATGTGCACAACAGTATTTCTCCAAAATTTGGCCATGAAAATCTTTCATAAACCATTAGGAAACAGAAGTCAGCGGCATGCATGACCCAGCGGAGTCGAGGATGGCAGAGCAGTCCGTGTGCCCTCGTACCATGCGAGGTGGCAGCAGTGGCAATCAGGACTTCGCGGACAGCAGTCAAAGGCCAGGAAGACGTGGACAGAGCAGCGCTGGAGCCATACAAGCACGGGCTTTCCATCAAACAGAGTAAAGCCCCGCCCCACGCAGGAGTTCCAGGAGTGGCTGTGGTGACAAACCAGAGAAAGCATGCATGGGTCTGTACCTGTGCATGCTGCCCAACTGCCAGCTAGAGGCAGGGCAAACCCACAGTTCCCTGTGCCTGGCCCCACACTCCTTCACTGTCACAGCAGAAGCCCTGGGGACAGGGTCTTCCTGTGAGTGGCCCTTAAGCCACCAGGATGGAGATGCGGGAGGAGAGCCCTGGCTCCTGCTTCCTCTGCGGAACAGCCCAGCTGCCCTTTGCAAACTTCGGTGTGCCTGCAGGTCCTCTGGGAATCTTCAGAACATCAGATCTGACTCGAAGGCTGAGTGGGGGCTTGGGGTTCTGCACTTCTACCATGCTTCCAGGTGACACTGCTGGGCTCTGAGCACCCCACATAGATGACACCCCCTGCGCCTCCTGTAGTTTCCTCAACAGCAAACTGCATGCTCCCCAATTCTGCTCTCAGAGTCCGCTTCTGGGGTCTCTCTCTCCTTTTGTTTCTCTGTTTCTCCCTCTCCCTTTCCCTTTTTCTCTCCTTCTCTCTTTCCTTCTATCCAGGGCTCCTTGCTGCTGGTTTTCACAAAACCCAACTGCCCTGTCTCCACCGTCCAGGGATGAATGCCTGCTGGCCTTCCTCCCACCCTGTCACTCTCTCATCTGGAAACTGTCTTGTTTTGTGGGTTAGGGAACTCTCTATGCACTTCTTGATAAGTTCTGCTCTTATGTGTGACCTTTTAAAACCACGCTGGCTTCACGTCCTGCTCATCTTCAGAAGATGTCTGTGGGCACAAAAGGAGTAAGGAGAGGCCTTTTCTTCAAACATAATAGCAGAAATCCTTGACCTCAGAGGGAAATGGAGATAGGGATGTTCACATGTGCAGAAGACATTTGCATTGTGAAGGGGACAGAAAGCCCACTCAGAAAGACACAAAGTTATTAAAATGAAAATCAACGTGACACCAACAAAAGGGATGAAAGTATACTCAGGAGACATGGAAACAGGATAATAAAGATAACACAAGCATGAGTGTACACTGTCTGTTTTGGATCCCATGTCTCTAGACAGTCATTTTGCAAAGCCATCTTGTCACACCAATATTTAAACAGTTTTCATATTTTGAAAATTTCCTAGAAACTAAACCTAAGAGAACACATGAAATCAATATTACCACTTTAGTCACCACTTTTCACTCAAAATAATACAGCTCTACCTAAACACAGACTTTATGTTCATCATTTTTCATAAAATTCACTCATGTGTAACTACCAGTTACTGCTGTGTAACAAAAAATCCCACATACCACAGTGCAGATGATGCCACATAGTCTCATTCACAACCCACTTATCCATGGGGTGCTGCTGTATTTGGCTGAGACAGCTCTGCACTCTGGCAACGGATGCTTGTTGGGGACAGAATCTTCTCAGGGCAGAATTCAGATGTTCCTGGGGACAGAAATCCGGGCTCTATGTCAGGGCGGTGAAGCTGCTTTCTCCCCATTGTCCATTCCACAGCATGTCTCCTGGCCAAGTCTAGGGTCAATCAAAGCCTCTCAGAACTCTCAGTTGATGCGTGGACACTAATCTGGTTTCCTAATTCTTACACAGCAATGCTTTGCTAATACAGAAGGTGCTTTCATAAGGCATTAAGCATTCTGTAGGCATTTTTCAAAGAGGCTTGCAAACATAACATGAATACCATCACACGATCATTGAAATCAATCCGTGTATTGCTGCAAAGGGCATCACCTGGGATGACTTGTTTGTTTTAAATGCTTGTTTTATGAAGCCAGTCTATGCTCTCTGTAAAGGTCAAACTTATCCGCACCTAGTGGGATGTATCCCACTTTTGCTTGTGCTTAGTCGGGTTGGAAACCTATCGCAAAGGATCCTGAAATCTTTCCAGTCAATGTTTTATTATTTCCTCTCTTGCGTGAAAGAAAAAAAAACGAGTCTGAAAGAGAAGTGAAGTTTCCAAAATCTCCACTTGACACCCTGTGCGGGCCTGGATGCGGCTGAGGTCATGGATGACACAGCAGCCAGAGCCCCGTGTCACTGCTGGGGATGCCCTGTGCACGTCCAGACACTGGGTCGTGTGCCCGTGCTGCCCGCCAGCCTGCTGCCCACCTCTCTGGCATCCACCTCTGTCATCAGCACCCAGCAGCCTGCAGCAACACCAACACACCCCAAATCTAGCAGGCCTCAGGCTCTGCTGAGGTCACCTTTTCCTGATAAGACATGCTTTCTAAAGTCAAAGGCTGCAGCCCTGCATGGTAACGCCGCTCCTGCCCAGTAGGAGCTCTTATCTAATGTCCCAGGTTTGTCCCATCGCAAAGAGCTTGTCCTGGGACTTGTGTGCTTGACCAGAGGTGACAGTTTGCAAGCTCAGGCCCTCCACCAGACTCAGCCACTATTGCCCCCTGCGGGGGTGGCTCTGAGGCCCTCAGCCTGGCCTCTCCTCCCCCTGTGCCACCTTCTCTGACCTGTTTGGAGCTGGGAGCGATTTCACAACGGTGATCTTTGGAGCCTCCCGCTGAGGCCGAGGTGGATTTTGAACTGGGGCTTGGACAGGTGCCCGAGGTGACAGGGGGCAGCTGGGAAAACAAGTAAACAAGCAAACAACGGTTTAAAAACAAAGCCAAGCACACGCGGACGAGTTTCGAAGGCGGGCACTTCCATCGCCGGCTCCCTGACCCGGGCACGTGTGGCCGTCCCTGTCGCGTTCCCTCCCAGACTCAGAGACGCCGGCGCCGGCTCCGGAGAGGCAAGGGCTGCCCCCGACCGTCCCCTCCCGACCCCGGCCCAGCGACACCGCGACGCGCCCTGTGAGCTCCCGCCCGCAGCCGGCGAGTGGCGCCGTGCCCGCAGTCCCCTGTCCTCTGTCCCGCTGTCCGGCTGTCCCGCTGTCCGGGGTCTGTCCCGGCGTCCGCGGCCATGGAGCCCGGCGAGGTGTGCATGACCCAAGCCATCCAGCCCGCGCACGCGGACGCCCGCGGCGAGCTCAGCGCGGGGCAGCTGCTCAAGTGGGTGGACGCCACGGCTTGCCTGGCAGGTAGGAGGGGTGCCGGGGGCGGGCGTAGGGGAACCGGGGGACAGGTGTGCGGGACCTGGGACAGGTGTGGGGCCCTGGAGTCAGGTGTCTGGGCGTGGGATGGGACAGAAGAGAAGAGGGAGGGGAGCGTCGTGGAGGAGCAAGGGCAGGGATGACCGGTAACCCAAAGGGCGCGCTTCTTTGTGAAGAGTTAAATCTTTAGGAATTTGCACCTGGTTAATGCTGATGTAGGTGTCCGGAACCTAGGGACATAGGAGCCTCCAGGGCTCCGCACTTATTTCGTGGAACTAAGGTTCCTAAGACTAAACCCTCCCAAACCACCCATCTAGGTCATTGTCCCTGGAGTAGGGGTGTGATCAGAAAATACATTTACTCAAAGAAAAAAAAAATTACACAAGAAGATGCTTTGCTATGAATCCCCTCAAAATCCTCCCCCTTGCCTGGAGCACACTCGTCCCCTGTCATTGCCACGTTCTGCAGCTCTGGAGTCCTCTTTCCTGAGTATCTTTACTTGCACCATCCTGGCTCCCTCAGTGACCTGAATCAGTTCAAAACATTCCCCTTTCCTGTTCATGTTGCCTTTGGGGAAGAGCCAGAAGTCACAGGTGCCAGACCTGGTGTATAAGGTGCATGAGGACACAGCATCGTGTTTTCACACACCTGCCTTTCCGTTGGATGGCGCCGGGCAGCACCATTCACTGTATTTTTGTCACATCTCATAAAGACACTCAGGAAAGAGGACTACTAGAACTGCTTCACAAAGTGGCAAGAAATGAATGATAACTGGATTAAAGCAAGGGGGAGAGTTTTAGGGGGATTCGTGGTAATGTGTCTTTTGCTATAGTAAATTTAAACATTCACCTTATTTTCCATTCCCCTTGCATACATATGCTATCACTGTGACACAGCTTACACTGACTAAATTTCTGCAAAATGACACTCTTTCTATGGTGTTCTACTCAGATACGTCCTAGGGTTTCCTGTGTTCTTTCATTAAAATAATTACAGACTGAGGTCAACCTAGATGATTTTCAACGGTAACAAAAGTGCACTGAGAGAAGTTGCAGTAGTTTACACTTTTGCAAGTTATTGGTTTCATAGAGAATGGCTCACTTCCCAAATCTGCTTCTATGGTCAATTCTGTTACCTTCCCAATCTTACTAGTCCCTGGAAAATGCCACTGTGTTTGTGCATTTGACTTTTCCTGTTTTGTTGTTGCTTTTTTGTGAAGTTTTTGTATGTTATTGTTGTGATTTAATGACTGTAAACTCGAAAGATCCAATTTTCTCCCAGAGAAATTTCTAGTGAGAAATAATAGCCATGCTAGTTTGAAGAGCCAAAGGATAAGGTTTGAGAGAACCAGATCTAGTAGAATATGAAGTGGACATTTCCAGAAGAAAGAGATCCAGAGAGCAAAGCCCCAAAATCTATCTATAATATTTGACCAGGTTTCTAGTCAGCCTTCAACTGGTCTGCATAAGAAAGACTCCAAGCCTCCTCAAAAAGGCCAGAAGAACTGAGATGTATGCCCCACCTCGAAGGAGATAGTCTTATAGTTTTAGTCAAATTAACTACCTTTTCAGATGATGTTATGGTTTATATCTAGCTGTCCCCTAAACCTTCATGCACTCATAGGTGGGGCTTTGGTGAGGTAATCATATTCTGGGGGCTTGTAGCTGACTTGCTGTTATGAAGTGGGCCCTGGTTGGAAGAGGCATATCATGGGGGAAATGGCCTGGAAGTATCTGTTTCCTCCCTTGACTCCTCCCTTCCCTCTGCTTCCTTCCCACCATGAGGTGAGCAGTTTCTCCCTCACCATGCCCCTCTGCCATGCTGATGCTTCTTGGGAGCTGGCTGACCATGGACTGAAACATGCACCCAAATAAACCTCTCCTCCCCAAGAGTTGTGGGTGTTAGGTATTGTGTCTCAGTGATTAAAAAAAAGTAACAAAGACAGAGGATGACACTAGAATCCACAGTTTCTATAATGGATTACGCACAATGGCTAGGATATAATCCAATATTATTAGACACACAAAGAAACAGGGAATCATGATCCAATCTTCATGGAAACCAATCTTGATGCTGGAATTAAGCTTCAAGGATTTTGAAGTAGCTGTGATGAAGATGCCATGGAAAATATGACCATAGGGAATGAAAAGGGAGTAAACCTCAGACAAGAAAGAGAAACTATTAAAAATGAAATGTAGTAACTTATACAGTATTTGAAATTTAAAGATCCACTGGGTGGGCTTAACTTCAGAATGATGAGTCCTGAGAAAAGAGTTCATAAATGTAAAAATAGATCAGCGGAAACTATCTAATCTTAAAATAATTTTAGTACCTTTTTTTTTTTTTTTTTTTTTTCATCCTTTTCATTCCTAACTGAATGGATTTGAGTCTTTTTTTTTTCCTTGGTTTTTCTCCTGTACCGGGAACCGAACTCACGACCTTGCACTTGCCAGGCAGGCGCTTTTGCCATTGAGCTAAATCCCCAGCCCCTTTAAAATAATTTTAAATGAGCAAAGTATGGTAGATATGGGGGGAAATAAATAAAAGTTTTACATATATGTAATGCCTTAGTCGCTTTCTTCATTGCTAAGACAAAGTATGTGACACACAAATAAAAAAAGAGGTTGATTTTGGTTCACAGTTTGAGAAGGTTCAGCCCTTGCTCGTTTACCTGACTCCAAGGCAGGAGGGCAGGGAGGAAGGGCCAGGCAGAGGAAGCTGCTCACATCTTGGCAGCCAGGAAGCAGAGAGAGAACGGAAGAGCCAGGGAGAGCATGGGGAACCCAGTGACCGACCCCTCTGACCAGGCCTCCCATCCTAACATCAAATCAGCTGCACTCCCCAAGACCCAGTCACCTTCTAAAGCCCCTTCTGTCTGATTCAAGAGGCTCCACAGGCACAGATTGAAAGCATAACATGTAGAGTTCCAAGAAGGAAAGCAAAATTATAAGGAAATAATTTCTATTTTTAAAAATTACAGCTGAAATTTTCCAGAATATGGTGAAAAGATGTGCAAATACAGATTCAAGAAGACTCTAAGCAAGATTAGTGCAAAAATACTACATGTGGGCACCTCATAGTCAAATTGAGCTTCAGGGAAATCTAGACAGAAGCCAGAGGAAAACCCCACTCTGTAGGAGAACAATGACTAAAGTCACCGCTGGCCACATCAGAAACACTGGAAAGATGGTGACCAGTACCTTTAGCACCACACTGATCACAGAAACTGGCAGCTCAGAGCTTCAAGGCACAGCCCACAGCCTGTCCCTGGCCTCACACACTCCCTTTCCTTCTCATTTTCTCCGTTTTAGCCCAGGGACCTTCGTCAGAGCCCTCGAGGTCACGGCTGCCTTTGCTCAGCATGTTTCTCTCCACTGGCCCCACACCCGTGTCCTCCTGCCATCCTTGAGCTCTCAGCTCAACCAGCACCCATGCATGTGCCTTCTATGGCCCCTTAGCTCTGGTTCCTCAGTTACACACTCAGGACGCATTTACTTTGGTGTTAAACATGCGCTTAGCCCCTGATTCTTCCCCCAGACTCGAGGACCACAGGGTCACGCCCTTTTACATTTCCATCACCTTCTGCACATCAATCAATGCCACTTGAAGGTGATCACTATTTTTATCAGTGATCATCTCACCCATGCATTACAATCACTGCTTTCAAGTTTCCCCAGGAGATAAGAAACAGCTCAAGAGTTTTTGTGCTTTTATTGAAATACTTTGTGAATGCCAATGGAAATCAAGAACCAGAGTAAGATGGTCCTGTTGAGTTTGTATCATCTTATGGATGTTCTTATAAAAAGAAGAAATCACACCAATTCTGATGCAAAAGCTCTGCACCCTTTGTTGGTCATCCATCTTGTTCTTTTCTTTTCTCTTCTCCTCCCCCTCTGCAAAATTCAGTAGTGTAAGCTGTGGCCACTGAGGCCCCTATTTAATGAAGTGCTTCTTTTGGAACATTCTCTCACTGGTCTACCATACTCATTTCTGAGTTTCTATGAGTTCTGCAGTCGAAGCCACTATTGGAATAATGTAGTTAATCTTTCTAAGCCTGTATGTCCCCATTCATGAACTTCATGTGATTGACATGCATAAATGCTTAGCTCTGTGCCTGGCCAATAAGAAATGCTTCATGTGTGGTATCCATTTCTTCTTGGTCCTTTCTGCAAGCTGATGTTATAGTTCTACACAGAGGGAGTAGATGCCCAATAGATGCAATAAAAATTTAACCTTCCATCGGCTACTGCATTTTAATTATCACTTCAGTCATTCAAAATTGGCAGTTTATGTTGCTGTACATGATAACATTTTGTTAGCAAGAGCAGTTTAGGAACCTCAATACCCCTTTCCCTCATCTTCAATAACTGGAATAATGTTCGTTAGGTGCTCTTCAGTCAGTGCTTCACAGCGTAGGTTTGAAAGGTTCAGTAGGTATGTGGAAAACTTAAACTCCAAAAGGAGCTGCAAAAAAAAAAAAAAAAAAAACAACCAACAGCAACAAAAATACTGACTAAGGCTGAATCTCTAAAAAGGTAAAAGTGGAACTGATTCAGCTTGGTGTCTAGAAATCAGCCAGAATTTAACACACATTTGATACACTGAATTCACGGGAGCCACCTTGCGCCCTGCAGAATTCGACATTTCCCTATTCCCTCCTGCCCTGAGTTTCACAGCAGGGAGCCCACCTTACCCCACTGCTTCACACAGACTTCTGTGAGGTAACTCAGATCAGGTTACATGCGTGTTTGGAGACCAGTTGCTTCCAACTAGTAAAGTCAGGATGTCCATTTTCCTCCAAAACTATACCATAGGGAAGAATGTGTTAAATAGTTGCCTCTGTTTACCTGGCACTCTTAGCTGATATGTGCTACAGCTGTAGCAATCCACTACACACAGGAATAAAAATTCAGGAGAATTTGCTCGCTTTTTTATAACATGGCACCAGGAGTGAAGTCTCCAGTGTTAAAATGAGGTTCACAGTTCTTTAAAGGCCAATGTAATTGGTTTGGATTTTAACCGTTTCTCAAAAAGAAAAAAATCTAGCTGAAGCAAATAGTGTGAACTCTTGTTATTTATATAAAACAAGACCAGCAATCAAACAAAAGTCTTCCAGGCAGAGGGGCTGCAGAATACAGACCATGGAAATTGCTAGGGCCCCTCTGACCCCTCTTCACCCTGCTGCATGCCCGCAAACACAGTGTCAGTTTAGTAATAATCAGTGGATGTGAATAAATAGCTCCTATGTGCCCAGCTCTTTCTCTGGTGCTGGAGAAGTTCCCTTGTATATGGAACATGATCTCAGCCTCTCCCATCTCCCTGTACTGTTTACAGTAGCCTAAATGTACTCTGCCACACGTGATGGGAGACAGTGGATTCACCTTTGAAGCTGAGTTTTTAAAACAAAGGGAGAGACCTGCCAAAATATTAAAGCCAGCCCCCACTTGCTGAAATTCCCATTTACAGTTACCAGATTTTATAGGTACTGAAATTCAGGACCCCAAAGAAGAGTAGGCACAGGGGCTAGAAATTAGATCAATCAACTTAAAATTGCATTCCTCTCCCTGATGCTGACATACGCTAACACAGCTCGGTTTTGCTCTTTCTTGCAGCTGAGAGGCATGCGGGGGTTCCCTGTGTCACAGCCTCAGTGGACGACATTCAGTTTGAGGAGACAGCAAGGTAAGTGGCTCTCCTCTCTCGGGCCTCTTGGTTCATTTGCGATGGCTGTGTGGCACCTGTTTGTTTGGGGTCAGTGATCTGTTTGTTAATAAAATAAATAACATTTGAAGCAATCTAAATTTGTCAAAATAGAACCACAGGGCCCACTCTTAGACAGTACTGTAAATGTAGATTGGGTCTACTTCATTGAAAAGTAACTCAGATTGGACGAGTCATGGGGCAGGCATCACAAACTTTCAGTGGTCCCATCCCTGAGGGCTCCTTTCCCTACTGAAGTATCAGTAAATATAGTAAGTCGCTCTACAATAGTGAATTTCACCATTAACTTATGGGTAAACACTGACTGGTCTGCACAGAGAGAGTAAATTATAGAAAACATTCTGCTTGTGAGATAGCCTTACTAATTCTTAGTGTAAAAAATTTCAAGGTAAATATTTCAGACCTACAAGGGATAATAAATGGTGAATGTTTAAATTAAAAATCTGGGGCTGGGGATTTAGCTCAGCAGCACAGCTCCTACCTGGCAAGTGCAAGGTCATGAGTTTGATTTCTGGTACTTGAAAAAAAAAACCAAAAGAAAAAAAAAAGAAAGCTCACTCAAAAATCTGTATTGAAGTCTAGATTTTAAAGTACAGTAAAAAACACATTGACATTAATCCCCTTGAAATATAAAAAATATATAACAGTAGAGAGGATAGTATGGTATAAAATATTGGGGCTTTTTTAGAAAACATAATATAACCATAATCACTGTTTTTGGAAGTCAATTGATATAATCCTCTTCCACATGATTAAATTACTAACTCCACTCTTGTTAAGGTTATTTGCTCCTTTTTAGGTGCCTTTTCACCTCAAATGTAGTTTGTCTTAAAATGTAAAACACATACAGGTACAAGGCTCAGATGTGGAAAACAGGTACATTTAATCCTGGGAATTTTAGCTTCTACCTAGCTTCTATCTAGGCCCCTCCCTCTCCCTATAAGCAATATTTTATTTGTTTTATGACTTGTCCATTTATGTTTAAAATGTAAGAAAATATTTATATGTATTTACACTCTTTTAAAACTAATTTCAACACTGTATATGCTATTCTCCATATCGCTTTTTTCACTTAGCATCTGGAAGATCAGTCCCCAGCAATACACAGAGGTACTCATCATTTTTCATAGCTACACAGTATTACACCATGTAGATGCTGTTATGGGTTAGGTCAAAATGACCCCCAAAACTTTCATGCATTCAGAAACTCTCATGTAGGTAGGGGTAGCGAATGATGCCCTAAACTCATGCATTTGGAAGCTGACTTGATCTTGGGTGTTGTCCTTGTTGGCGGGTAGATTCACCCTGTGGCAAGTTCAGTAGCCCAGTGTGCTGTGAGGCAGCAGGCCTGGTTAGAGTGGCCCTGGGCTGTGTCTCCTCCCTGGTGCTTCTTTTCGCTCTGCATCCCGACCACCATGACCTGAGCAGTCTCCTCCACCAGGCCTCTCTGCTGCGCCACTCCTGCCTTGGAGCCAGCCAAGCGGGGAGTGTAACCAGGAGCCCAAATCAACCTCTCCTCCTTTAATTTGTGGGTGTCAGTGATGGGAAAGTTGTGGAGACAGATGCCTTGGTTTCGTAATGAGCATTACCTGGTCAATGAGTATTTACATCATTTTTGCTGTTACAGATAATACTTCTATAGCAGGCGTGGGCTGATACAGTTCATAATTTTTGTCTGTGTATTTTTGGGATAGAGTCCTAAAATATTATTTCTGCCTCAAAGGAGAAAGGCATGTCGTTTTACTGGACACTGACCACTTCCTGTCTGTGGGGGGTGTTAGTGGGTTGTATCACTTTCTACACTAGTAAAACAAGGCTAACAACCAATGCAATTGTGCTATAGATTTGCTCATATCTGCAACACAGGAATTCGTCACTTAAATGCACACTTGTGTGGATGTATGAAGCTCTTCCCTTCCTTCTTCTGACTCAAGGCCTAGACTTTGACAGGTGTGGGGCATACAGTAGCAGGGCCTGCGCAAAGCCTGATCAGGTAAGGCCATTCCTCAGGGGAACCTAGGTGACTCACCTGGGAGCACACGACCGGACCAGCCCCACCTGTACTTCGCTCTGAGGCTGAGGAAGGGAGTGTTGTTGGGCTTTGGAGCCAGATACACCAGGGTTTGGACTCTAGCCGGTTGCTGCTGTCTTGCCCCTTAGGACCATTTCCAGGTATGAGTGCAGCAGGTGATGATGCCTGCCCGGCAGGATGCCTGCTTGATGAATGACGCATTGTTAGACACGATATGCAGCATTTGGCCCAGCATTTGGTTTATGCACTGCATTGACAAAGGACAGCCACTTTCGCTAGCTAACATGCCGCACAGAGAAGGAGCACTTAGTTCAACAATGGATGGGGGTTTTATTGTTAATGAACTGTCGATAATTCTTTTATACTCCATTAGACTTTCTCCATTTACATACCAGTGTCTCAAACACTGGCCTCCTCGAGGTCCCCAGCCTTGTCAGGACTGTCACTGTACCTTACACCTGAGCCCAGTCCCAGGGCTGATCCTAACTCAGTGAATATTTGGTAAATGTAGGGGTTTGAAAAACCAGTGATTCCTTTCTCTTGAATATGAACAAGAGAAAAAAAAATCTCGAAATAGAATCAATTTAAGGGAAAGGTCTCTAGAAGGAGAAGCCTTGAATATTTTCAAAGACTGAGGAAGAGTCAGAGGAGGGTGGAGGTGGGGTGAGGAGAGAGGTTGCCTAAGGGCAGCGGGGTGGACAAAGGCAGGATGACGGGCAGGGCCAGGGCCAAGGATGCAGGGAAGGAAGGAGATGGGGTTTTGAGAGGATCTCTCTCTCTTTCCCTGAAGCAAAACACTGCAAACGACAGTGAGACTTGGACGTTAAGGGAGAACGAGTGAGGTGGCTTCTATTGGCACACTCTTGACTTCTGCTTAGGTGACGGGGTCAGAAGAGACAAAGGGCCAAAACTCAAAAGTGAGGAGCGAATGGGTCATTTAGCAGCAGGTTTACAGGCCTGGATGTAAACTAGCAAGGATGATGGGCTAGCTGGCTTGCTTGCTTATATGTTGGCTTATCCATTTATTTACTCGCTAACATTTAAAAATAAGTGTCAGTTGTATAGGCTTGCCTGTGTGTTGTCTGAAGTTCCTTTGGGAAAAGAGCTGCTATAAGCTCAGAGTATCTGTTGCAAATTTGGAGTTCCCTTGCATGCAGCCTTTGCAGAGTCCCGTTTCTTCCGGTTAAGGTCTTAAGTGACTTACAGGGACCAGAATTTGTCCTTAAGCCCTGTCTTTTCTGTTATCATTAACCTGAGTTTTCCATGCATGCATATTATCAGTGCTGGGGTTTATATCTGGATGTCGCCCCAAAGCCACAAGCTCTCGGAGGCAGGGCCTGGGGAAGGTGATTAGATAGTGTGACTACAGTTAGTGTCGTGTTGGGGCCAGTCAGGACAGGTGGTCACTGAAGGTGTGATCTGGGAAAGCACATCTCGCTCCCCCACTCCTTCCCTTGTCCTCTGCTTCCTAGTCACAATGAGGTGAGCCGCTTCACCTTTGCCAGCCCCTGCCACGCTGCTCCTTTTTTGGAGCCCATTGCTCATGGACTGAAACATGACTCCAAATAAACCTCTCCTCCTTTAAGCTGTGCTGTTGGGAATTGTGCCTCTGGGTGAGAAAGGAAGAGGATCAGCAGTGGTACTGCCTTGTGGCGCATGCATTTAAGTGCATCTTTACTGTGACATGCAATGTGCTGAGAATGCTGAGTTTTATTTTACTTATTTATTTTTTTACTAGAGTTGGGCAAGTTATAACCATCAAAGCAAAAGTTACTAGAGCCTTCAACACCAGCATGGAGGTAAGAAGCTCCCTTTCCTTAGCTGTGCCTGTTGGTGCTCATCTGTTCACCGTTTAAAGAGCAGAGGGGAGGTTTGGGATAACCTTGCTGGTAGTGTGATTCTGAGGTATATAAGGTCCTTAAATCTGTGCTCAGACTCACAAGTAAACAGTGGGAGCTGGTGTTTTCCCACCAACCTTACCACTGGAACTGAGGGCTGTACTGCTTTTCAGGAAGGGTGCCCTGGAAGGAAACACGCAAGGGACAGGGAAGGACTCCCTCCTGGCTCTTTGCAATATGTGGTTTTAGTTGTTAATTTTCCTGACTCTGCTGTTACTCAAACTCTGTTCTGGTTCCTTACACCCCCTGTGGAGACTGGTCCCATGATTCATTGTCTTTGAAAGGCAGAGTAATGGGGCTTCAGTAAGAAAATAAGTTTAGAATATTTTTATTCTACATCCATGTGCTCTTCTTGTACCATAGTTGTGAAATGACATTCTTAGAGCCCTTGAAGTCTCTTTCTGGGTAAAATAAGCAGAAAGGAGTGCAGGATGCATCTTCTGGGCTGAGCAGTGGCAGTCACTTTGACTCAGGAGATGAGAGGCATGTGGGAACTTGTGTTTCTTTCCTCGAGCTGCCATGACAAAGGACCACAGCCTGGGTGATTTAAACAGCAAAACTTCATCATGTCACGGTTCAGGAGGATGGAAGTCCCAGGTCAAGGTGTCAGCAGGATTGTTTTTTCTGAGGGCATTAGGAGAATCTATTCCATGCCTGCCTCCTCACTTCTAGTGTTTGCTGGCAATCGTTGCATGCCTTGGCAAACAATGCCCCATGCTCTTTCTCCATTGCCATGTGTGCCCCTGGGAGTGCGTGCTCAACTTCTCCCTTTTTTAAAGATAGCAGCGTTGAACTATAAAACAATCCTAAGTTGAACTCATCTTAAATCAGTACATCTGCAATGACTGTTTCCAAAATAAAGTCACCTTCTGAGATACCAGTGGCACTCAGAAGCTAGACTTCAAGACAGGAATCTGGGAAGGAGGGCACATGTCAACTATAGCAGAAATGTTTTGGCAATACTTGTACCTACAGTGATGGCTTTGCCAAAAGGTGGTTACTTCCCAACAGTAGCAAATGCATAGGCCACAAAACAGTCAAAGAAATTAAAGAGGGAGAACATATAGGGAAAAAAATAATAAGCCTTGTCAGTAAAAGTTCTAATCAGACCTGAACTTCTTGGCTGGGGGCTCTTGACCTTTGCCCCCTAGCAGCCCTGGGTGTGGCCTCCCTGTTGAGGAGTACGCAGGTTCCTTCCAGGAGGAAATGACTAAGGGTTCCTTTATTGTCAACCCAAACAGGGATAAAGATTTCTTTTCCCTTTATTCCTCTTTTTTGAGACAGTACCCATAGCCTCCACTGCTTGATGTCCACCTGTCTACTTTAGATGAATACTTTTTCCCCCTTTATTGAATTTTACATAAGTAGAACCATATAGTATATAATAGTTCCTAGTTTATCTTACTTAGCATGATGATTTTTATTACTGGCACCATTATTGTCATGATTATTCCCATTTTCCTATTTGTTTTAGGTTTAATTTGCCTTTCTTTTTCTAGAGTCAAGGTAGAAGCCCAGCAAATTGAGTAAACTTTTCTGTTTTTTTCAAGTATAAACATTTGAAACCACAAATTTTCTTCAGCGCATTGTTTTACCTACATCAAGTAGATTCCATTTCCCTCATGAATTCTTCCTTGACCTCTGGGTCATCTGGATGTGTGTGCTTTGATTTCCAAATCTTTGATGATGACTTTCAAGACACCTTTATGTTACTGATTTCTAAATTAATTTTAATTTCTTTGTAGGAAAAGACCATAACTTGTATAATTCCAATTATGTTAAATTGATTAACATTCATTTTATGACACAGTTTGGACTATCTTGGTAATTGTTCTATATGTATTTGAAAAGAATGTGTGTTCTGCTTATGGTAAGTGAGGTATCCCACAGATGTCAACAAGGGTAATTTGGCTCATACTGATGGTAGGGTCTTCTGTGTTCTTATTGATCATTTTATTGGTTCCCTCAACTGCTGGAAAGGAGCGAAGAGGTGCCCAACCATAATTATAGACTTGTGGATTTTTCTTTTCAGTTCAAGCAGTGCTTACTTTATATATTTCCAAGCTTTGTGATTAGATGCAAACACATTTAGAATTGTTGAATCTTCTTGATTACTTAACCCTGTCCTGGTTATGAAATCTACCTTTGTATCTCTGTTTTTTGTTTTGAAATATATTTCATCTGATACTAATCAGCCATACCAGGTTCCTATTCATTTATGTTTGTGCATTATTTTCCCATCTCTTTTTCTCTTAACTTCCTTTTGTTTATGTATTTTATATATTGTTTCTTATTGACATCATAGATTTAGATGTTGCTTTTTTATCTAGTCTAACAGTCTGCCTTCTACTAGGTATGTGGATTCCTTAACTCTCTCATTCCTGGGGCAACACACCTGAGACCTGCAATTTAAAGGAGGAGAGGATTATTTGGCTTACAGCTGCCAAGAGTTCATCCATGGTCCACTGGCTCCGTGGCAGGGTGCAGTGGACCAGAGCTACTTCATGGTGCCAGAGCACAGCGGTACAAGGCCAGAGAGAAATGGGCCATGAACTAGATACAGTTCCCAAGGTCATGCCTTCATGACTCCCTAGAGCAAACCCAAAAAAAATTGTGCCTCATTCATCCCCTAGGTATCTCTCAACCCAGACAAGTTGACAATCAAGATTAACTGTCACACTGTGCTTAAATTGTTTTCATTTAACATGATTATTGACATGATACAGGGTAAAGCTGTCATCTAGCTTTTGTTTTGTTTCCTATTTATTCCATTATTTTTTGTTCCTTTCCCTCATTTTCAAAATGAGTAACTTTTAGTAATCTATTTTATCTTCACACTGGTGTTTTAGCCACAAGTATTTATTTATATTTTAGTGTTTGTTTTAGAGTTTACAAGATGCACACTTATTCAAGTCTACGTTCAAATGATATTTGATTCCTTTAGGAATAGCTTAGTAACCTCACAGCAATGGGCTTCCCTTCCTATGTCTTCGCCTTTGTGCTGTGATCCTCATACCTTTTGTCTGCACACACCCTACATGTCCCACAACACAGTTATTATTTTTGCTTTACAGAGTCACTTTTTTAAAAAATTTAAAATGAGAGAAATAGATGTTTTACCTTCCTACATACTTGCCATTTCTAGTTCTCTCTGTGTCTTTATGCTTCTCCAAATTCCCCTTGGTATCATTTCCCTTCTGTCTGAAGACGCTCCTTTAACAGTTCTTATGCTGTAAACCTGGTGGTGAATTTTTCCAGCTTTTATCTGTGTGGAAATGCCATTGTTTCCTTGTCATACTTGAAAGATGTTTTCCCTGGAAACAGAATTCTGACTTGACAGTGGTTTCCCCTCTGACAGTGCTTTAAAATATGTCTCCATCATCTCTGGGCCTACATAGTTTTCCAAGAAGTCTGTTGTTACTCTTATATTTGTTCCTCATCCATAGTATGTGTGTATTTTTTAAGTTTGGTTGTTTTGTATTCTCTGGCTACTCATTTTCAGTAATTCAGTTTATGATATACCTTATGATTACCTTCACAATTAATTCTGTTTGGTGTGGTTTTTTTGTTGTTTTTTTTTTTTTTTTTTTTTGGTTTTTCTCTGGTACTGGGAACCGAACTCACGACCTTGCGCTTGCCAGGCAGGCGCTTTGCCGCTGAGCTAAATCCCCAGCCCCTTGGTGTTTATTTTTTAGCTACTAGATCTGTAGATTTATAGTTTTTAACAAATTTGGAATTGTTTTCAGCTACTGTGTCTTCACTTTTTTTCTATGCCCTGTGCTCTGTATTCTTTTGGAGTTTAGAGTTTTAGACTGTTGATTAGTGTCTCACAGGTCACTGATGTTGTGTATTTTTTTTCTGTATTTTTGACTCTTCCCTCCCCCCTATATAATGGCCTTCAGCATCACAGGTCTTTATTTCTGCAGCATATTATCTGATTGTAGCCTTATTTGGCATATTTTCATTTCAGATATTTTATTTTTCAGCCCCACTTGAGTATCTTTATATTTTGCATTTCTTTCTGCATTATGCTAATATGGAATTAGCAAACAATGGCTGTGGGCCAGCTGTGTATTTTTATCAATAAATCTTATTGGGACACAGCCATACCTGTTGTTTTATGGTCAGGATTTTCTGCTGCCACATTACTTTCACAGAGTTGGATGGCTGTGACCGAGGCTGTGTGGACACAGAGCTGAAGCACTTGCTGTCTGCCTTGCCCTTTAACACGATGTTTGTTGACTCATGCTTGTGTATTCTTGGTCTCATATGTACCTGACGCTTTGATGTCCTTTTTTGTTAATGCCATCATTTCTGTCATTTGTTATATTTTTACTACCTTGTACCTAATAATTATCTTGTGTTTAATCAGGTTCTTATTCAATGATGAACACTGAATTTTACCCTGCTCAGTGAGATTTTTGCTGTATTTCTGTAAGAAGAGTGTCCGATTTTTTGCAGCAAGCAGATGTTACTTCCAAATTAGTGTGACCCCCACAGGTCCATTTTGACCTCTTTTATGGAAGATTTACAATAGTATTTCTTCCAGGGTAATTTGATCCTTTTTCTAAGTTAGCATCTTTTGTGGTGTGTGTGTGTGTGTGTGTGTGTGTGTGTGTGTGTGTGTGCATTGCATGTTCAGTGAGGTGGGGCTGTTGCATGAAGGCTCAACTTGTTACACTGTTTATTTATCAGAAGTTGTTCTTGTCTGAAGTTTGTTGAGGTCTCACCTTGCGCATGCTCAGACTGGCATCAGCCCCAAGACCCAAGGAGACCTACTGTCATATTTCTGGAATTTTTTCTTCCTGGAGCTTCTTCCCCTCTGCTATGCTTCACCATAGCTGCCTTGATCACCTTGATTTCCAGCTCCTCCAATCAGCAAAGTTAGGTTTCCCTTCCTGATCATAGATCATAGGAATTACCTGCAGGTGGGAGCTGGAAAAGGCAGTGTTCCTTTCCTTTGTGTCCCATTCCCTGGGAACACAGTCTTGCATCTTCCATTTTCCTATGTGTGAAAATAGTTGCTTACACTTTGTCCAGTTTTCTAGTTGCTTTTATGGTATGTAATTCCAGCCTTACTTGCATGGTACAGCAAAATTCCCCTGGCTTAGGTTTTGCTTGTTTTCACTCTGTTAGATATTTCATTTCATTTTCCATTCACTGTTTCTCTAAACTGAAACCTACGTAACATGAGGGTGAGTTGGGGGATTGGGGACAGATGGGCTAAATGTGGTTAATGCACATGTAGTTATCTTAGAATTTATCATGCAAGTACTAATTTGTGTTTTAAGTGCCCTAAAATGAGTCATAGGTTGTTATTTCTGCACACAATGTACCTGATATAGAGGTAGAAATGGATGTTCTTTATCGCTCATTGCGTTGTGATGCACTAAGATGCCTGAGGTTGTCCATGACAAGGAAGATAGTATCGCTTAAATCTGAAGACCACCTCCCAAGCATGTCCACATCCTGTGCAGTACAAACCTGAGGGAAGACGAACTTCGGGGCCTTTCACGAGGGTGGGGCAGGGGTCCAGTCCAGCGCTGCGTCCTCACAAAGTGCCTCAGCCACCTTTTCACTGCTCCAGAAAAACAGAACAAGGAAGCCCAGCTGTGCATAACATAGTTGAGTCCTGCCCAGGCTGTCCTGGTTGTAAAAAGCAGAGTATAAAGGTTAAAACTACTTTGATACAGCTCAGTGATTCACATAAGATAGTCATTCACATAAGACTATCATTCACATAAGACTATGATACAGCTCAGTGATTCACATAAGATAGTCTACCAATGAGGAGACTAGAAAATGCTTCTCACATAATGCCAAATTATAAGAATTAGAATATAAATCTTTAAACACATTATGAGCATTTTATCATGTGTATACATATATATGCATTTATATATTTCATATTTATAGGTTTAACATTATATGTTTTATATACATATAGCATTATATATATAACATCTATGTGTATAACTAGAAGAAAATCCACCTAAAGATTAATGATCTATCTCTGGGTGACCGGACTACTGATAATACTTACCATGAGGAATCTGATCCCACAATTTTTCATGCTAAATGTATAAATTTCCTATTGTCAGGGAAAAAGTATTTGTCCAATTTTGTATAACATTTTTGAAAGAACAGTATTGCTTAAAATTAATTAAGGTGCTATTTCATTGTAAAAAACAAAAGCCAAGATTGATGAAGTGCATAACCAAATTTTGATTGCTGCAACTGAATTTGCCATTTGAATGACTGGAAGTTTATTTGTTTCTTTTCTTTTGCTTTAGATAAGTATCAAAGTCATGGTTCAGGACACGCTCACTGGCACGGAGAAACTTGTTAGTGTCGCTTTCTCTACGTTTGTGGTCAAGCCAGTTGGAGAAAAAAAGGTAAACCTTTTACGTGAAGCCCTATTTCTTCATGTAACTCAGGGACTCAGGAATAACTGCATTAGAATTGTTTCTTATCATGAGATTCACTTTCTCAAAATTTGTTATTCACCAATATTCACTGTAAATCTGTCTGTGATAGTGTAGTATTAAGTAGTAAGCTCCTTCGAGGAGAGAAGACATACTTAATTCATGAAAGAGAAAAAAATTACATTTTTTAGCAGTATTGGGCCTTTACATTGAACTATATCCCACCCTTTTTATTTTTTATTCTGAAAAAGGGTCTCACTAAGTTGCCTAAATTGGGACTAGACCTTAGGATCCTCCTGCCTCAGCCTCCCTTAATGCCGAAATTACAGGTGTGCACTGCTGCACCAGGTAAAATATTCAGTTTTAAATGATCCAAAGGCCATTTCACTTTCTCAGAAATACTACTTACTGCTTTAGTTCTTTTCTTTTGTAGTTATGACATAGGGGAAAGAAACTCCCAACCCGAAAGATATCTGGGATGAGTTTGTGTTCCCTAAAATTGAAGAATGAATTTCAGGAACAATGGAGGTTAAGAGCAGAATATATTTATTGAGGGAAAGAAAGCTTCTGTCCGAGAGAGGGACAGAAGGGGGCCCAGGTGGGTTGCCCAGGAACCTGTCTTTTTTAGGGACTTCTGTAGCACAAAACCACAAAGCAAGGCGGGTCTAAGGTGGGGAAAAATGGGAAATCACAAGGTGGGCATGAGGTGGGACAAAAGTATGGTCAACCAATAAATTACAAGCATAACTAGTCAGGGTGAAATTGATTATATCAGGATCAAATAGGGACTCGAGTCATGTAGCAAGCAGCAAGAATGCAGAACAAGGGCCTTTCCTGTAGGGGTTGGGTTAGTGACTCTTCCTGGCTTTCTCAAGGTGATAGAGACCTACTTAGAATATCAGTCCCTGATGTCCATCCCTAGGGAGGTATGTGTTTGCATTTGTTTAATCCTTTGTTTTGAGGTCTGGCCCACAGCAGAAGTGCCTGTCTCTCCCACAGTTGCAAGGTATCTTGTCTTCCACACTGGCTCCTTTGAGGGCCTAGCCCTGTCTGACTGCCTAGGATATTTCTATCTAACTCAGCTGCCTACAACAGTTATATAACTCAAAAGCAAGTTAAAAGAAAATGTTAAAAGCAGGCGTAATTTAGCAAGCAGTTAGTTGCATGTTTGGGTCCAATCATTTTCTTATATCCAGAGGAAAAATGTCAAAATTGCTGAGTTATTTGTACTTTAAAAATTGCAATAACACAGCAATTTAAAATTAGGTCTTTAAAAATTAAAAACTTTAAAAATTAAATTAATTAAACTTTGAAAATTAGGTCTTGGGGCACCTGAGGGGGGACGCCCTTCTGAGCACCAGAGTTCTGATGTGCATGCCTGGCCACCCACCAGCCCAGACCACACCGCTCACTAGGCTGCAAGAGTGTCCTCATTTCCATGCCTGTGCAGGGCTGGGGAGCCTGGGGTGGGGACCCCATTTGCTCTGAGCATTATTTAAATGTCATGGTTGGTTTGGAATGTAAAGGTCTCCCTCCAAGGCAGCTCCAGGTCTGTGCATGGGGCTTCTGCAGCTCTGCTTGGAAGTGGCCAAGGTCCCCGTGCCCTTCCACACCTTCTCCACTGCACCCTGGCCAGGCAACAATTCCTATGCGGCTCCCACAGGCTGTGAGCACCAGCCGCTCCTCTGCTGGGCACACTGCAGAGGTGGGCCGTCCTCCTGGATGCCTGGCTGTCATGCACACTCAGTGCCCTCCACTCCAGGCCTAAAGTAAACACACTGTAGGTGACACTCCCATTGTCCCATTGCTGCTTCCAAACCAAAGTTCCCATCAGCTGCTTGCAGTGCTTCAAGTGCAGCTTTCTGAGCCCTACCAGGATGTGCTGAGTTAGAATCACAGGGGTAGGAGCAAAAGAGACCTCCCCCCAGTAAAGACCCAATCAAAGCATGAGCAACGGAAATGAATAGACACTTCTCAGAAGTATACATGGCCAGTAAATTCATGAAGAAATATTCAGTCGCTGGCCATTAGAGAAATTAAAACAACACTGAGACTCCATCTTACCCTAGAAGGAATGGCCATGATGCAGAATCTGTGCTTTGACAAAGCAGCCCAAGGATCCTACATTCATGAACATCTGAGACACTGTCATAAGTCTCACAATTCGCTGTTTCTCCTGGAATCTCTCCAAATCTCTAAACTCTGGATAACGAGAGGATTAAGGAGTGGATGCAGAGTTCCCATAGCAGATAGCAAGTGACAAGAGGACATACGCATGGCCATCCCACACCTTCAGACGGAGGAGAGGGCCATCCTCCCCTCACCCTGGCCTTAGACTCCTTGCTCCAGAGATGTGTGACTCCCACACCCAAGCCCAGTCCCTGCTGAATGAAGAGCTGTCCCAGTGGTCTTTCTGAGAAGTCAGCACCTTTCAGTGTCCCCCTAACTGGTGGTTCAAGTGGCCTTCTTATGAAGCACCCTTCCAGACTAACTTCTTTCCCAGTTGGTAACATTCTTGTTCAGTAGCACTTCTGAGCAGCAGCAAAGCACCATGCAAAAGGAATAGTTTGGTTTGAACCAACAGGGCCACTGGATCTCTCTGTAAAGTGAGTACTCCAGGACAAAATTGGCAATGATTAACAGGTCTCAATTCAACAGTCACGGATCAGATCACTGCACACAGAAAGGTTCATGGTTTCCGCTCATCCCAGGCTTATGGAAGCTGGAGGAGATAGAAGGCACAGGTCAACATCGGAGAGGTTCCACCTCAGCTGACACGAGCTCACAGGGTCCTTTACCTCTCACATAGGCAGAGAGTGCTCACCAAAATATCTGCAAGGTGCCTTGGTTTCAGGACAATCAAAGCACAAGTTCACCAAGCAGCCTTTTACAGCTCACTGGCAATACAGCTGAAACAAGATTGTAGAGAGGTAAACGTGTCAGTCTGTACGTTCCTGACCAGGTTGGACATGTGGTCCAGGGGAGCTGGGCCCTTAAGCAGCCTAGGATGAATCACTGGCTTATTTCATGCTTATCTGGGCCAAGGGTCAGGACCAGAACCAGGTGTCCTTTTGCTCAGCTGATTGCCATCTGGGGAAAAGGTTGAGCCCTTAGTACAGTGGCACCAGAGGTCCAGGTTTCTGGAGGTCACTTAGAGATTTGTTTTGAAACATTGATCCTGTCAGTTGGTTTAGCAGATAATGTTTTTCCCATGTGATGAAATCCTCACTTGGGAATAGCTCTTGTGCAAGATAGTTTCTCTAGATCCTCTCTATTCTCTCCCTTTGATGTCTTATTTTTTGCAAAAGATAGGAAACATTTCTTGATAAAAATTCAGGGGCATCACAGTCCCTTTCCTCCTTCATCGGTCTAAAGAAGTTCATATTTTCTAGTTCTGTTGAAACTTTTTTAAATAGAGGAAAATAATCAGGGATACCAAGGTTCAAGCACAGCACCACAAAAAAAGGAAAATAAACAGGGATAATTTTTAAAGTACATCTTTATTACCTGAAAGCATAAGTAATCCTATGCTGATTTTTTAAAATTTAAAAATGTAAGGAAAAATTTAATCAGTATATGTTCTGTGAAAATACCCTTAAATGCATGAGTCACACAATCATGCACTGTATAATTTATTTTTGTGAAATGTACAGTGTGCTTTTAAAATTTAACAAGGCAATGAAAATGGGGGAAAAAAGAAGCAGCAAGATATACCATGTACAAATACAAATTCCCTCTGAAGAATGTTGTCACTACGTCCATCTAAAATGTACCAAAAAAGAAAAAGGCAATGTTATGGTTTGTGTCTGCATATCCTCCCAAAGCCTCGTGCAGTCATGGGGTGGGCTTTTAGAGTTTATGATTGATTCATAGGTATGAGAGCTATACCCGCCCTGGGGCAGATAGTTTTCATACAATGTAAAGGAGAGAAAAAGGCTGCTTGCAGCCACTCCTCCCTTTTGCTCTTGTTGCTTTTGCTATGTTCTGCAACCATGAATGGTTGCCCTCTGCCATGTGCCACCCTGCCTTGGAGCCAGCCAAATATGAACTGAAACCTCCACAAACTGTGAGCTAAATAAACCTTTCCTTCCTTAATTTTGGGCTTCAGGTATTTTGTCTCAGCAATGAGAGACAATTAACCAAGACAGGCAATGAAAAACCAATGCTTTTCTTTCTCTAGATTCATTTAAAACCAGTCAGACTCCTGACTGAACAAGATCGTGTGGAACATGACCTGGCTTCTGAGAGAAGGAAAGTTCGATTACAACATGAAGATGCCTTTAAGAGCTTAATGGAGGAAAGCAGCAAGTTTGAAGGTCAGTAAACTTCGTTCTAGGGATCCCTGGAATGAGCAAGCAAAGGCGAATTTCACCTGTGCTTCAGCTCTATGCCGCCGCAAACCCAGTGACTGGAGAAGACAGGGACTGGCCATGCTGATGATAGTGGAGACACCGAAGTCCTCCCTGTGTGGGAGAATGTTGAGGAGGGGAGGGGACATGAGGGACCAGACAGTTGGTCATCCATATAAGTGAGCATTCAGGACCCATGAGTGAATGAAGCTTTCTGTGGTGGAAAAGAAGTTTTCAAAGGTTTCTGCTTCAAAGAACTGAAACTGGTGGAGCTGAGGGGTGCTCGAGGTCGAGGGGTGCTCGAGGTCAGGGGCATTGTTTCTTAGGATGGCAGATTGGGGGTCCTGAGTCCAGATCCATCTGGGTGACCGAGAGATCATTACAGAGGAATGAATTGGTTCTAGGAGAAAGGGATGATTCATGTCAAGCCTGTACTTCTGGTGCCTGCGAAGTGTTATTTATTTTCTTACCACTGAAAGAGCAAGGCTCATCACTAAGTTATTTTAAGGAAATGAAGTTTTCATCATTCTGTGACTATGCTCAGAAGAACGAGTTTCCCTTTGTAAAGACAGCCTCAGCATGAAAAGATGCATTTCACTCAAGAAATGAAATAATGGGACTGTGAGGACAACTTGATGGTTTTCGGGCAGACCAGAAAACCATTCATAAAAAGCAAAACTGAACAGCAGCAAGGGCATATGGGCCCTGCTGAACCCTCACTGGGAAATCTCAGGAAAGGACTGAAATGACAGGCAGGACCCTCAGCCCAGGCCTAACAAACTTTAGCAAGCAGATCTCTTAGGTGGCAGCACGGAATGCAAGCCTTGCCTTTCTGTGGCTGGGCATGAGTGTCTGCACAAGTGTGGCTTTTTAAAAACCCTGCTATCCTTGTTGAGATTGCACTACCTGTATTTGTAAGAAAGTAGAAAGAGCCACTAGAAAACCAAGAAGACTCCTTTTCAGTTAATCTAGCCTAAAATAGGTCAGTCTCTATTCCTCTGAATAGAACCTAACTCTATTAATTACATTTTCTTTTTGGAAATTTTTCTAACTTTAACGTCCCCAGTAGTGAAAGAAAACTGAAAGCCAGCTTCTCTGAGAGATGCTGACACCAGACCTGGATGTTGGGAAAGGCGGCATGTGTGGGTGTGTTACACTGCTCCTCATGGCTCTGAAAGAAGCTATTTTTATTGGATGGTACTTTCTGCAAGCAGGTAGCAGGTCACCTGCTTGAGGCATACTTCTGGGAGAGGAGGATTCCACATCAGGCATCCATGGTGGGAATCTTATTCCAGGTGCTGAACGGTGGAACTGCACACTGTTAGCATCATGGGAAAGCTGACCTCAGGCCCTGTACTTTCAGAGAAAAAGAGGAAAAACTGAGATCAGCTTTTGTAAGGACTCTCAGGGGACATGTTTTTGTGGTCCGGGTCATCATCTGGAAACTTAAACTTAAAACTTAAAATTTAATTAAAATGCAAAGCATTTAATTACAGTGTTGCAGGAAAAATCCAGGACCAAAAGGAAAACACTCCTCACCAAGGAGTTTAGAAGATGACTTTCATGTAGCGCTACCAGGCTGATGGGAACCAGTTCCAAATCATCAGCCCTGAGTCAGTTTTGAGTTCAATTTAAATACAGTTTGCAAGCAGGAAACACAAAACAGATAGCTGGTTATTACATGATTGGTTACAGGGATTGTAAGAATCAAGTCATATGTTGTCAGGCAGATTTGTTTTAAGCAGATTTACTTAAAAATAATTGTTTATCATTAGACAGGAACATTCTGGGAGGGAGGGGGTCTGAGCAGAGCAGGTAGAGTTGAGTCGACCCTTGACTGGGCCAGTCTGTTCTGGGCACAAAGTACAAAGTTCTTGATAGATAAATACATATTTTAAGTAGAAAAACACAGATATTACATCTGGATGTGGTCAGATTGACCTAGTCAGCTATTTGGAAGAGGCAGCTAGATTCAGACAGTCAAGGCTGACTGAACTTAGCAGTCTAATTATGTGGAAAGCAGCATGAGTGTATCTGTCCCAACGTAGTCACAGAATACTGATTGCTTTTTAATTTCTACTATAAAATTTTTATACATTTGCCCTTATAACAGTTTTTCAGTAAGGAACCAGACCTTAGGAGCCTTCTCCTGGTCAATCCTTCCATGTGTGCAGAATGAAAGCAAGAGGTAGGACAACCTCAGTTCAGGTGAAAGTTCTTGACCTGAAAATGTGGAAATGAGTGTAAAGTTGTCCATGCAGGATGATGACACAACTCTAAAAGCATGCAAATATCGGACCTGCCCCCTCAGAACCTGCAGGGAACATGAGGTCTGCTCACTGTGCTTCGCCCAAGCCGGAGCTGGGAGCCGGGCTGTTCTCTGAACCCCGAGAAAAGCTGTGTTTCCATCACTCAGCTGTTACCTGCTGCATCGGAACAGTCAGTGCCGTGGCTGCCACATGCACACTGAGACCCAGCCCAGCAGCCGCCTCCTTTTGTCCCTGAGTGTACTGGCCATGTTCACAGCAAGTGACCATTTCCCAGCTAATCCTCAGAAAAGGAGATGCTGCCTTATATTTGAATCTTTACAGTATCTCATATTTTCTCAATTTTTAAAATTTCACAATTATTTTTAAGTAGATAGTACATGCATAGGGCGAAAAATTCAAAGGGTATGAAAAGGAATACAGTTAGAAAACAAGGCTTCCTACCATCTGCATCTCACAGTTCCCAACCACTGATAGCCTTCTCTCCCTCTCTCCCTCTCTCCCTCTCTCTTTCTCTCTGTCACACACACACACACACACACACACACACACACACAATTGATAGAATAACAAACATTTACATACCTGATGTTTTTCACTTAACAATATATTTTAGAGATAACTTGTAATGATTTATTTTGAGCAAAAAATTGTAGCATTTGGATAAGCAATATTAGACTGAAAAAAACCTCAACCACTGCTACTTAAGGTGTCATAAAATCAGTTTTTTATTTATTTTTTATTTTATTTTATTGTCTTTTCTGAAACAGTTTTGCTATGCAGTTTAGGCTGGCCTTGAGCTCACTTTGTATACCAGACTGGTCTTGAACTCTCAATGATCCTGCTGCCTCAGCCTCCCGAGTGCAAAATCAGTTTTTTTAAAGGCAGTAAGCCCGACTTAGTGGCAAATACCTGTAATCCCAGCTACACAGGAGACTGAGGCAGGAAGATCCCAGGTTTGTGGCCAGTGTGAGCAGGTTACAGAGACTCTGTCTCACAATAACAATAAATCAAGTGCTGGGGGTGTAGTTCAGCATGTGATGGATTCAGTCCTTAGAACCAGAAAGAGAAAGAGAAGGAAAAGAGAAGAGGAGGAAGGAAGGAGAAGGAGAGAGAGAGGGAAAGGAGATTTTTGAAATCTTTCGAAATCTCTTCAGGAAGCTATCCAATTTTGATTATAGCAATGTGGTAGCGTTAGTGTCTGGCAAAGCTATGATTTCTGTATGGGCTTTACAAATCCATCTCAGCACTCAGAAAAACGAGAAACACTGGAAAACAGTAAGTGTCTGGTAACACGGTTTAAGCAGGAACAGGGAAGAGGGAACTCCTGTAAATAGCCCACAGCAGTGCCTAAAATGCCTGTGAAAGTAAGGACTGTGCGTGAGAAGTGAATCACGAAGTGAGGCTCATCCATCTCCTCATTCATCACTTCAAAAATATGGCTGGGCAACCGTACTGAGCCATCCATAGTAGAATAAAAATATTCGTAATCCTGACTGCTAAGAGTTCAGGATCTAGGAGGTGAGATAATAGAAGATCACACAACTGAGCGTGAAGCCGCAGATGTGAGAGGAAGGTGCGTATCTTAGGGCTCATTGTGGTAGTCCAGGAGGGACTCCCTGAGGAAGTGAGACTGGCCAGGACAGAATGGAGGTGGACAGGAAGGGTGGCGGTGGCCAGGAACGGGACGACAGTGTACAGTGCCCCAATGGTGGAGGCAGTGTTTTGTGGGAGCAACCCAGACAAGCCCATGTAGCTGGAGCAAAGGGAGAGAGAGCAGGAGAGACCCTGACAGGAGGCGGGGTGTGGCTGGGAGAGAGTCGTAAGTGGGGCAAATCAGGTCATGCAGACCGCGGCAGGGATCTGGGCTTCACACCAGAACCTCAGGCCACCGACATACACTGAACGTTGTGTTCGGGACTGCTGCAGGGGCGTTGGCTTTGACCTCTGGCCTGTGATTTGGGATGGGATGGGGAGAATTAGAAAGGGTCTGAGATCCAGGTATTGGGCTCCTCAAGGAACAAGGAAAAAAGAGGAAAATCTTGTCTTATATCAAAATGAGGAAATTAGCAACCATGTTGATGAGTGTTTTAAGGAAGAGACTCAAGTGATCGATGGAACAAAAGGGAGAAAGAATTAAAAAACCACCAATTAATTATGAATCAAAAAACTCCATGAGAAGTGGGGTTAAAGTTTCTGTGACCACACTTCCTGGTCCCCCCAGGTGGGACTGACCCAAGACTACTGTTGGTCCCCTGCTCCCAGCACACGGAGGATCCACTCACACCACCCATTCAGCTCTGCCTGTGGCTTCAGGCCCAGAAGGGTCCCCGGATTTGAGGTCTTCCTGCAGCAGTGACTCACTGGGGGCTGTGGGAAGCACAGTGGAGCACCTGCTACTGCTCTGCAGCTGGAGTCCAGGATTTCTCAGTTGCTGAGAGTGAAAACCAGCCTGTCAGTAAATGAGCAGACTTGATTAAGAAGACACCGGGCTTGGGGAAGAAGAGCGGGGTGTCTTCTCCTCTGCAACTGCGCTCATCGCTGGCACTCCGATTCCCAGTGTCCCTGGTCCCCGTTCCTTTACCTTTAAAGGCTATACCGAAGTATAGCCGGTTACAACTAATGGCTCATGGGTACAGCTCGCAACTCAGGAAGTTTGAGTAAGTGTACACATGTTAGCTCATCACCCCAATGTTCCTGTGCTTCCCTGCCCTGTCCTGACCTTTCCCACCCAAACACCACCACCAGGAAAGAACTCATCATGGCGATCCCCAAAAGACAAAAACTAAAGTTGCATTCCACCAGCTATTTCTCTTCTAGGTGTCTTCCTGAAAAAGTTAGACACCATGTTACCGTGGTCCATGCGCACCATGTTACAGTGGTTTATAGCAGCACCACTCACTATAGCTAAATCCTGAATGTGGCCTCTATGTTCATCAACAGATGAATGGATCAAGAAAATGTGGCATTTTCACACAATGCGGCACTACTCTGCCATAAAGAAGGATCAATTTGGGTCATTTGCAGGAGAATAGATTCATCTTGAGACTATAATGTTAAGTGAAATAAATCAGACACACACTTAAATACTGTGTGGTTTCTCTTATATGAGCAATGCAAAGTATAAACACAATTGAAGAGCTAAAAAGAACATAAATAACAGGAAACGCGGCCAGGGATATAGCTCAGCGGTACAACACTTTCCTGGCAAGCGCAAAGTCTTGAGTTCAATTTCTGGCACTAAAAAAAAAGGAAACAGAGATCTTTTACAGATGGGAAGGGGACCGACAGATGAGAGAGACATGAAAAGAATGAAGATGTGTCGTGCATGTGTACTGACTTCCCACCAAGGAACAGATACAAATAAAAGCCACTAGGGTTGAAGTGGAGCCACTTTTGTAAACCTAGTGCCAGTGGACGGACTGGGTGGTGGGATCTGTGGCAAGTGCTTTCTGGTCTGCATCCTCACCCCCACCCACTGTGACTGTCTGCAGTCACTGCAGGCACCCTGGGGACCCTGCTCACCTCCTCCGTCTGACTTGCTGAGGACTCTGATCTTCCTAACGCCGGGCTTGGGCTTGTTACTGGGCAGAGGAACCAGGCAGGTCACACAGTCCGCTCCCTGACACTGATGTTGCCCCCTTGCAGATCCCATGTGCAGTGAGGAGGAAGGGACCATGACTGGTGCCACTGCCGTGCAGAGCATCGAACTGGTGCTGCCGCCCCACGCGAACCACCACGGAAACACGTTCGGGGGCCAGATCATGGCGTGGATGGAGACAGCGGCCAACATCGCCGCAAGGTTGTTGGCTTTGGCCAGGGACTCAGGAATGGTGGGATGGAGGAATTGGAAGGGATGAGATCCAGGTATTGGTCTTCCCAAGGACCAAGAAGAAAACAGAGGAAAGTGTTGTCATTTATCAAAATAGAAACTTATTAATCATTACCCACTTACCTTAGGGTTCTTCTTTCTTTTCATATAAAGGTGGCTGTTTAAGGCCCTGGCTCAACAGTAAAACTCAAATGACAGCTTTAAGATTCTATTCTAATTATGAATGTTGACTCGCGAACTGAGACCCACAGTGACAATGTATAAGACAAGGCAGGTGAGGAGCAGAAATGGGAGAAAGCTTTGCACTCAGAAAGTAGTCTAGTGACAGACCTTCTTTTCAAAGACGATGCCCAATTAGGCATCTGTGGTGCTGAATAAATCATTATGGCCAAGAACTGGCTGAAAACCAAGAAGAAAGAGAGGGAGTACTTAGAAAAACGCTTTAAAATCCTTGAATTTCAAGAAGGTCATTTTATTCATAACAGAGACATGGAGCAGTTTAAGGAACAGCAGTGCTAGGGAAATGTGTATGAACAGGACCTGCCCTTCTAACAATTTTTGTAATTACTGAAAATTAAATTTTTATCTCCCCCAAATTAAAAAAAATTATATTATTGACATGCTCCTAGTTATGGGTATAATTAGAAGTCCATAGTTATCCTTTTCATAAACCATGAACAAAGAAGAGAGCCTGTTTGAAAACAAGATTGTTACCCTTAATGACAATAGTGCCTTTGACCTTGAACACGCTCTGTTGCAGAGACTTAAGTATAACTAAGGGTGCTGGGGTCGGTTCCCTTCCTAGCACAGTTCTCCAGGGTACGTGCATGACAGCAGTGGGACTTTAACATGCAAAAAAGTACGGCATTTCAGAACCTAAATATTCTTTGTTGTAATTTCCAAACCCCATGCACACAGTTTGCCCTTTTGCCCTGGGGGTGATTCCTCGGCACCTGCTGTCAGATGAGGGAAATCCTCACAGTGGAGCCTCTTGGCAAAGCCCCTGCCACAGAGAAGTGGTGTTTCCCACACAAGTGCAGCCCGGTGGCTTATTTCACCTGAGTTAAAGGAGTCTGAGCAGGGCATGGTGGTGCACACCTGCAATCCCAATATTAAGGAGGCTGAGGCAGGAAGATCACCGCCAGCCTGGGCTACAGTGAGCGTGAAGCCCCCTGAACAATGGAGCAAAACCTTGTCTCAAAAGCAAAAAAGAAACAGGACCCAGGTCACAGGGCGGCTGCTGCCCCCTCCAGCGAGTGCACGGTTAGTGAGAACTCGGTAGAGAATGAGCACTTCCTCTCCCTCCTGTGTGTCCAGCCGCCTGTGTAGAGGACACCCCTTCCTCCAGTCCGTGGACATGTTCAAGTTCCGGGGAGCCTCCACTGTTGGGGACCGGCTTGTTTTCAGAGCGATCGTCAACAACACCTTTCAGACCTGGTAAGGGCGCTCTGGGGTGGACTGCCGCACGTGAACTCAGGCTTGCACAGAAGTAGCTTTGGATCTTTATTCCGGTGTGGAGCTGAATGTAGGCACTACTTTATGTTTAATTTTGATCTGCACTGCTCCATGTTTGCGGTGCGTGGTAACACCTTCATCACGGGGAGGCGGAGCGTGGACGCAATGCATCTCCCTTTTTTCCCATCCTCCCCTGCGCCCGCCCCTCCCTCCACCTTCCTTCTGCAAAGGGTCTGTGGCCCTGCGTCCTATTATTTGTCTTTCCTTTTGCTCTCTGTTCACACTCTGAGTTTCTCATGTGAGAGACGCCCTGTGATTTTTAAGCCGATGTGTCTGGTTTATCTCACTTAACGTTACTATCTCGAGGTGCCTTGTCCTGCACGGACTCAAGTGAATCCTCTGCTGTAGCAGTAAACGCGTTCCTTCCGGCTTTATTGAGCTTCGCTCACACCTGAGAATCTGTGGCCACACATCGAACCCTTGCTCTGCTGCGGCCTCTCCACACTGAATGAATTGGGCTCAGTTGGGCTTTTGTCCCATAAGGGCGGCAGCCGGTTCTAGTCTGTGCCTGTCATCTCGGCCTCATCCTGAATTCCTCCTTGCATTTTCCAAACCGTCCCAGTTGTGACGTGATTGACCGACTCACAGTGGACCTGTTTATTTACAGCATAAGTCCAAACTGCTTCCTGGTTACTTTATTATTCTTGATACACGATGAAAGAGTTTAGTCAGTATTTTTCTTTTCCATTGTAAAAACACCATGAATGTCTGTGCTTCCCATTTAAGCTTTAGCACTTGATTCTTTTAACTTATAGAACTGTTATTTTCAGAGAAGACAATTTGACTGCCGCAATTTAACTTCCCCTGCCCCATTACCAACATATAGGTTGTGATCTGAATGTTCAGATAAACACACCTCACCTTGAGCCCCCGCACAAACCTCCCCTCACTTTGAGCACACTCATCCCAGCACGCTGGCCACTTTCTGCAGCAGCTCTGGAGTCCTCCTCCCTGAGTGTCTTTACCCGATGTGATCAAAACCACGATGAATGAGCACCATCCAGCAGAAAGGCAGCTCATGAAAACGTGATGCTATCCCCATTCACACTGTTCTCTGAACCTGGCACGGTGTGACTTCTGGCTCATCCTCAAAGTCCAAATGACCAGGAAACGTCAGTGTTTTAAACTGATCCAGGACATGGAGGCAGCCACAACTAAAGACTAAAGTCTTTTCCTCTAATAACTTGTCCTTTCAACATCCATACCATGCCGTGGCCTAGTGCACACACGAGTACACACGAAGCTCCGCGTGGCCTCGGAAAGCTGACAGGGCTTGCAGCAGCCACACCACCACCTGAACACAGGGTTTGCTTGCTGGGCAGATTTGCCACTGCCGAGAGCAGCCAGGCTGCCGTGTGCTGCTGCCTAGGGGGCACCGGGCAGGGAGGGCACCTGCCCGCTGCTCTGTGCCCACCGCCCTGTGTCCCTTGCAGTGTGGAGGTCGGGGTGCGTGTGGAGGCCTTCGACTGTCAGGAGTGGGCCGCGGGCCGGGGCCGGCACATCAACAGTGCCTTCCTCATCTATAACGCTGTGGATGACCGGGAGAAGCCCATCACCTTCCCCAGGGTCAAACCCATTTCCGAGGTTGGTTTCATCACAGGTGTGGTGGGAATCAGGCCCTGCAGAGCTCTGCCGCCCCATTGCTCCTAGGGCCCTGCCTCACCTGTCCTCTGCTGCTGCTCCTTCTCTGCCTAACAAAGTAACACGACCCTTGCCTGTCCTGTCTGTCTCATCCTGTCCTGTCCTGTCCCATCCTGTCCTATCCTGTCCTGTCCTGTCCCATCCCATCCTATCCCGTCCTGTCCCGTTGGGTCCCATCCTGTTCCGTCCTGGCCTGTCCCATCCTGTCCCTTCCTGTCCCGTCCTGTCCCATATGTCCTGTCCTGTCTGTCTCATCCTGTCCTATCCTGTCCCTTCCTGTCCTGTCCCATCCTGTCCCATACTATCCCGTCCTGTCCCATCCTGTCCCATCCTGTCCTGTCCCTTCCTGTCCTGTCCCATCCTGTCCTGTCCCGTCCTGTCCCGTCCTGTCCCATCCTGTCCTGTCCTGTCCCATCCTGTCCTGTCCTGTCCTGTCCTGTCCCGTCCTGTCCTGTTCTGTCAGGTCCCATCCGGTCCTGCCCTCTCCTCTTCTCCCCTCCTCGCCCCTGCCCTTTGCTTTTATTTCCTTTTGTTTGTTTCCCTTCTCCCACATCACGCTGCTGGCCTGTGACATGACGAGCCCTGGCACCCTCACCTGTGGGCCGCTCACTGCAGCGGGTGACTGTGACCTCTGGGCCCCTTCCTGGGCCCCCTGTCTGTGGTCAGGGCCTCTCCTGTGCCAGCACTCCTGTCTCCAGGGCTGAGTGAGTTGTGACCTCCCGCGGGTGGGAGACCTTCCCAAGCCCGGCTTCGCGACACAAAGCAGAGGTTCCGGCGCCCTCGTCCCCGGGCTGTCAGCCGTAACACTGCTCAGCTTGAGTTTGGTCCATTTTCCTTCTGTTCTTAAAGGATGATTTGAGACGCTACCGCGGAGCAATCGCTCGCAAGAGAATCCGCCTGGGCAGGTAAGGGACACACCCTGGGGCCTCCCTCGCGCCAGGTTTATGGCAAACGGAGAGCCAGGTCTGACACTGCTCTCAGAGGGTGGCAGTGACCGCGTGGGACGATGAAGGGACGCAAGCTGATGCTGACGGGGTCCGTCTTTTCCAGGAGATACGTTATTTCCCACAGAGAAGAGGTCCCCGTCTCTACGCACTGGGACACGAGCAAGCAGGTGAGGGTCATCTGGTCCGAAGCTCCGCGGAGGAAAGCAGCGCTCTCCCGGCCTCCCGGTCCGGGTGGGCGGCGCCTGCGCAGTGAGGTGGGAAGCGGCCCGCCCTCCCGCTCCATCGATGTCCTGAGCAAAGACAGATTCTCGTTAAGTCAGTGCTTAAGACTTATTTTTTAAAATATAAGGTTTTTTTTTTTTTTTTTTTTTTGAGATAGGGACTTGCTGTGTACTTCAGGCTGAGCTGAAGCCCAGCAGAGGCCTGAGCTCCGTGACCCGTCACCTGCCACATGTCCCTTGTCTTCTCTGATACCTGTGTCTGGTTCCCACACACACACTCGGTCCCCTGCCACCAACTATGTGCCCATAGACCTGATTTGTGCTGAACATTATGCCCACAGCTGGCCCTTTTATAGAACCATAAGTCAGTGGTCATTCAAACTGCTTTAAACAAAATGCAAAGGAAAATCCACATTTACTTATTACACATAGGTTATAAATCATAATTGCTGAGCTTGGTGGTGCATACCTGTAATTCCAGGACTGGGAGGCTGAGGCAGGAGATTGCCAAGTTCAAAGCCAGCCTGGGCTATATAGCGAGCTTAAGCTCAGCCTGAAGTACACAGCAAGTCCCTATCTCATAAAAAAAAACTTATATTTTAAAAAATAAGTCTTAAGCACTGACTTAAGGAGAATCTATCTTTGCTCAGGACATCAGCTAAACTGACACTTACATGCTAGGCTTACCATTACCCTGTCAGGCTTCTAGATTCGGAATTTGAGATAGACAGTATGTTTGCTGCAGCTCAGTTCTAAGCCCAAAAGGCTCCCTTTGTCAACATGTTCCAGCTCGAACAGCGCCTGTCTCCAGGCAGAGCAGAATCAGCCCACGTCCGTGCTCTGGACACCCTGCTTTCCCACCCCTTGCATTCCAGGCTTCCCTGAGCGATGGCAACGTGAAGGCGCTCAGAGAGCTGGCGGCCAGACCTGGCTGGGAGGTGACCAGTGCCTCGGAAAAGGTAGGGGCATCAAGGTGGGTGGATCTGCTGCTCTCTGGCTGCCTGGAGCTGAGTACCACATCTCCATGGAAACCGTGTTCAAGAGGCGGCATCTTCCCTGCCTGCTCCAGGCTGGTCCGTGTGGAGGCGTGGCACCTGCTCACACTTCCCTGCCCCGGGCGCTGGTCCTCGTGTTCCCTCCTCTGCTCTTCATCTCCTCCTGCTCAAAGCCTGCCTGGTCTCCAACAGCGGGATGGGTCCTTCTGCATAAAGCCACTCCCGACTTATGACCTCCTCCCTCTAGCGGCTCCTTCTGTCACCTCCTCTTGGAAAGTAATCTGTCAAGGCATCTTGCACCATCCTGTGAAGTTCCCTCCACAGTTCCTGTGAACTGATGCGTGAGCCCCACGCAGCCGTCCAGCTTTCCTAACCGGATCATGAACTCCTTAGCTAAGACTCTTTGGTTTCCTGTACCTCTCCCTGCAGCCTCTAGTGATTCGCACATCTCCAGACACAAGCAGGCTCTGCCACTGAGCTTTGCATTATCAGGAGACCCTGGGAGGCCGGCGTTCACAGGATCCAAACTGCGAGGCTTCGAGGGCCACGTGGTCCCCACCCAGGTCCCGGCGCCGCGGTGCGTGGAGCTGGGTGCTGGCCGCACGCAGGCTCCGCCGTGTGCTCGGTCATCGCAGCACGTGCTGGCCTCCATCGCGTACAGGAGGCGGCCAGGCACCCTGGGTCTCCAGCCACACTCTTGTTCTACGCCTGCTGTGCCGGGGAGATTACCTCTGCGCCTCAGTGTCCCCACTAGGATGACGCATCACGATGTCACCTCACGCTGACGCCCGGCACACTGCGCCGGCGTGGGTCGGTTCGCGCCGGGCCTCCGGCTCGCCTGCTGCCGGTTCGCAGACACAGTTCGCAAAACCGCGTGCTGCTTTCCCTTGACCTCCGGTAAAAGATGCCCCACACTTCCTTTCCCTGATCGCGTCCGCGCCTTGCGTCGTCGCGGGCTCCGAGCTCCTGGCAGCCGCGGTGGGGGCACCGACCGCCCACCGGAGGGAGCAGGAGTGCGCATGCGGGGCGTGCCGGCCGGCGTACAGCCCCAGCGCTGCGGGAGCTGCGGCCCGAAACAAACCCGAAGGGACAGGTTTTCTAGTGTCCTAGAAGAGCTGTCGATGAGGACGTCTCCGTTTTTATATAAACATTTGGTAGAGGATATTGTATTATTAAGGAAACATTCTCGTGTTCTCTATGGAATTTGAATCTCTCCCTTTAAAAATTGTTTTTATGACAAAAACCTGATTTTAAAAGTCTGATAAACTTTTTCTCTTTTGGGGTAATCATCTTCTCTCCCAAGTCTTACAAATTTTTTTTTTTATTTTATTTTTGAGACAGTCTTGTAGGTAGTTCAGGCTGGCCTTCCTTGAACTCGTTGTGTAGCATAGGTTGGACTGGAATTCACAGTGATCTTCCTGCCTCAGCCTCCCAACTGCTGGAATTACAGGGGTGTGCCACTACACCCAGCTATGTGTTTAATTGTAAAATACGGATCTTGTATTTTCTTCTGTCACCTTTTACATGAATAATTTAGTTGAAACACAAATAACTGTGTCTTAGGACACAGTTATTGCTTACTTTCTTACCAGCTGAGTGTGAGTAGGTTGCCCAAAGCGAAAGAAGGAAGCTCAACTCAGAACCCACAGAGCAAGTAGTAGGTTCACCGACTTCTGTCACAGGAAAAAGTGTTTCGACATGTGTCAGAAAGAGGCAGAAAGAGAACTGAAAAGTATACCCTCAGAGAGACTAGAAGGTGGGCATCAGAGAGAGACCTAGGGGTCCAGAACCAGGTGCGTTTGTGGGGCATGGATGGTCCTCAGGGTGGAGGTGCAGTGTCACTCCCTGCTGTCTGTCAGCCACCCTCTGGGGCTGTGTCACCATGCAGACGCGTGCTTGCTTTGGAAGCCGAGGTCCTCTACCCACTTTGCACTGAGCTTTCTCTCAGACACAGGGAGAACGGTGTCGAGGATCCGGGCTTCTTGGGTCTTCAGGACCATCAGGAAATTTTTTGACTGAGTTTCCTGGAAGGGAAAAGGACTCAAACAACTTTTGTGTTCTGAAGCTACTTTTGTTCTTAAAAATATCATTTTGAAATTATGATACTTCTTCTCTCCCTTGTACGTAGCTTTTTTTCAGCGCTACCTGGGTTTCAGGTTTTCACGTAGGTACAGTGATACCTCGTTTCATGAATGCTTCTGTTTGAGAACAGTCTGGTTCACGAACAGAAGCATTCAGCAAAATGTTGCTTCCGTTTGTGAAACTCCGAGTTAGGAGACAAACTCAACTCTGGTTTTCTCCTCTAGAATCGTGGAACGAATTAAGTTTGTGAACTGAGGTGCCACTGTATTTACTTTCAGTCAAAGCCTGGTATTTGTAATGAAGTTGGACAGTCCTTATAATTTTCACTCATATTTATTTCCTATCTAGAATTATGGAATTAATGCTAATCATACAAGACTCAGAAGCTGTGCTGTGGAACCTCACACATGCTCAGGAACCTGTGGGAGGTCACGTTGATAGCACAGTTTATAAGCAAGCAGGGTACTGTAATGTTTAAACCATAAGGTCAGCTGGTGGGCAGTTCGAAGTTCAGGAAGATAGTTACTTGGAAAGAACTCTAGGAGCCCAAGTTCCTATCTCTTTGAAGGTGATCTTTGCAGAAGGCTGCTAAGCCTGAGGGGGAAGCATTTCCAGGCAGCAGGGTAGCTCACTTTTGTCTTCCGGGTAGAAATTGTAAGGGACTGGCCTGATAGGGAACTGATAGGGGCTGGCTTGATGTGCTGGGAGAATTAGAATATCACAGTGGACAACACAGGCCACCAGAAAACCTCTGGCTAGAACAAGACACCGGTATAGGAAGAGGCCAGAGAGGATGTCTTTCCCCTGAAGCCGGAAGGGGCTGGGTCCAGAGCTCCACCTGCCCAGCCCCACTCCTCCACCCTGTCATAATTCTCAAATACCTCGATTTCCCTGGGATTCCATAAACACTAGTTTTATCCCACTCTCCACTGTAACACACATGTCCATAAATTGTACAAAAAATTCTAAAACTTTGAGTTTAACTAAAAATCCTCAACCCAAATCCAAACAGAATCTCATTAGAAAGAAAAACAATACCACTGAAATACACTAGCAAGCTAGTTTCAGCAAAATTTGAGCCTACTCACTTTAAGCTTCTTTTCATTGAATACATTTTCTAATCACCAAATGATAAAGAAAACATTTCAGTTGGCTACAAATGGAATTTAACCTCCATTCTCCTGAGCATAAAAGGGAGCTCATTTTCCTGCAGTGTTCTTGTCAGAAAATTTTTCACTAAGCAAAAGTTGTGAAAGAGAAGTCAGATCAACTACTGTCCTCTCTGTCTACTTTGTCTCTGCATCACTGGATCAGGCAGTGGGGCGAGGAGAAGGACCTGGGCATCTTCACCCTCTGGGGGAAGGACTAAGCTCTCATTCACCCATCCAGTGCTGTTCCTGGCATCAGACACCTCGAATGGGCTCTGCTGAGGCTGAACATGACGTGGCCGGCTCGCTCGATGCTTGCTTGGTTACGGGACAGGAAGCAGCCGTACGGCCTGGGTGACAGCTCCCCAGACACACTCTGTTCTTCTCCCAGGGCTGCCATGCAGAGGCCCACACTGAAGCAAGAGAATTCCTGTCCCCTATTCTGAAAGCTGACAGTCTGAGCTCAAGGTGCTGGCAGGTCACTTGCTTCTGAGGGAGAGAAGAAGCAGGTCCAAGCCTCTCCCGTGGCCTGGAGGCATGCTACCAATCTTGGTGCTGGGAGACACAACATTGGTCGCTGCCTTTGCCTTTGCCTTTGCCTAGCACCATCCCTTTGTGCACACTGTGTCCTGTTTCCCATTAGAGGGATGTCGGTCACATTGGATTAGGGACCTTCCTAGCTGCAGTGCTATCTCATCTTGAATAATTCCATCCTCAGTGACAGTGCTCCCATAGAAGGTCACATTCTGAGGTATAATAAGTTAGAGCCTCTGTGTACAGATTTGGAGGGAGGATGCAGTTCAACTCTTCACAAGTGCTCTGCCCTCTGCTCTACCCACTCTGCCTTCCTTGTACCAATAATGTGTAGCCCTGGGCCAGAGAGCGACCAGGGCTATAGGCTGCCAGGCCACAAACGCTCATCAACTCTGACATGGCAGAGCCACCACAGCCTGGAGCTGCCACCCCCACACCTGGAAGGTGGCTTCTCTCTGGGGTCCCCCTGGGCTGAGATGTGGGGGCGAGCCCCAGCTGCGGAGCATGAGTCTCACCATCAGCAGCAGGCTGTGTTTTTCATTGTGTTTGCTGTGGGCTCGCAGCCTGGGCCAGGCCCTCCTTTGCAAAGCGGATTCAAAGATGTGCTTGGCCTTGAGGAGATAGATTTTCTGTGAGCAAATGATCGCTTGATTGCTTCCTAAACTACTCTTAGTTAATTTTTCCGTTCTTCATTCTCTCACTGATTTTACACACACACACACACACACACACACACACACACGTGTTTAAATAAGGGTTTCTCCTTCACAGCCTGATTTTTCCATCTGCTTGATTCCTGAATTGAAGTCCTAAACTCATGATTGTTTGTCTTCTCTCAGCCTGTTGCCATGGGGATGATTATACGATGGCAGATTCCAACTTTCAGAGCCCCCCGAAGGAGATAGGGAAGCGGACAGGAAGGAAATGTGCTCTTACTTGAGCGCACATCCATGACTATTGTCCGAACACAGTAGAAGGCAAGCTGAGTACCAGGGATGCCTTAGGGTTCCGTGTATGGCAAATGGACCCCAGGATGGGGCTCCGCTTACCTGGGGAACCAGACCCCTGAGAACCCCAGACGCTGGTCTCCCAGAAGGGTGAGCATGGGATGGAGCAAGCAAAGAAGGCTTTGTGCGGTGCGTGGACCACAGTGACGGCTTGGGTTGGCTCTAAAGGAGGCTCTCTCGGCTCCTGTCCCCTCAGCCCCTTGAGGTGCACCTGATATCACGGGAACGCGTTCTAACTCGCAGCCCTGGCCCCGTGTCTCTTGGGGGACATAACACGCTGGTCCACCTAGCAGCCTGGTAATAGCTTTCTTTTGTTCCTGGGTGCAGGCAAGGAAACAGCATGACGAGATGAAGAGGGAAAGCCTAATGTGCTTTATTTTTTCATGAGAATCTATTTGCACCACAATTAAACAACCTACCTCAAGTGACATGCTATGTACAGGACATGGGACTCTCATTCTGGCCCAGACTTCTGGACATCCACGTATTCAGAGTGAAATTGCCATCCTTTGCTTTGTTTTTATTTGGGTGATGAGATGCCTCAGCTCATATTCTCAGTCTAGCCAGGCCCGATGGCCCATGCCAGTAATCTTAGCACTTGGAAAGCTGAGGCAGGAGGATCACCATCAGTTCAAAGCCAGCCTGGGCTACATAGTGAAACGTTGTCTCAAAAAACAAACAAACAAAAAATCAGTCTATGACTACATATATATATGTATGTAGCTTTTGAAGTAAAATTATTATTTTTTCTCTTGTAATTTATTTTTTCTTGTTAATATTTTTAGATAAAAATATACACTCTGGAAGAGCAAGAAGTCCTATCAGTTTGGGTTGAACAGCGTGTGAAATGCCCAGCACACCTGGCTTACCATCTCTTGTCTGACTTCACAAAGCGACCACTGTGGGACCCCCACTACGTGTAAGAACAAATCATGCACCCTTTCCTTAGTCGGGCCCCAGCACGGCCGAGTGTATGAGGCGCTGTTTCATTATCTGAGTGGTTTCCAAGCTTGCTCTGCATAGCACCCTGCACCAGGAGATGCTGACACCAGATGAAGAGTGTTATGCCCCCTTGTCCTCCGTGTGGACTTGACATCTTCACCTGTGTCTGCTGCAGTCCGACCCATAAACTCAAGGCTGGCATTCCTCCAATTTCTGACATCTGCAAGGTTACACTGGCCACCAAAAGGCAGCACCCAGGCTGGACTCCAGCTCTGCCAGTTCTGAGGTCCATGCTCTTGGGCCTCCACACAGTCCCCAACTCTGGAGGAGGTGACATCCTATGTCTTCCCCACTCTTGACCCTTAATGGGAAGCTCCTTCTTTACCCTCAAAGCCTCATTCCTGAGGGCAGCCGGTGGAGGGAGTCAAGTCCTGATGGAACAGCGCTCCTTCCTCCCAGCAGCCTCTGCTCTTCCCCCGCCACTTCCTGTCTCCTCACCCCTAACCCAGACTCCTCTGGCTCTTTCCGTTCTTGAGACACTCTCTGCCCTCCACACCCACAGAGGGTTCCACTCCTGCAGATCCAGCAACCTTGGATCAACACATATTGGAGAACGTCGTGTCCATACCGAAGAAACACAGACTTCTGTTTATTGAGTTTGTTCCCTAAAAATCAAGTAGAACAGCTATCTAGGCAGCATTCACGTTGCATAAGTAAAGCAACATGATTTAAAGGGTGCAGGAAGATAAGCTGGGATTACATAGAAACACAAAGGCATTTCATATGAGGGACTTGGGCATCTCCTAACTTTGCTATCCATGGGGGCCGTGTTTCTGATCCAAGCGCTGAGGGGTGACTGTCCATTACCTGGGCAGGGACAATGGCCTTCCTGGCAGCCCTCTTCTCCTGAGAACCCCACCAGCCTTCTGGATCCCTTGATACAAGGGAAGGGCTGCTGAGATGGGTTCTTTCTTTCATGTCACTATTTCCAAATGCAGACAAGGTAGAGACTCATCTTTAAAATGTCCAAAACTCACTGTGGTTAAAACCATTAACTTAGTATAATGCCCCTAAGGTGGACACCTCTGAGGTGAGGTGTTACTTTTGCATAGATGCCTGAATAACACTGTAGCCAAGACCATCATGATAAAGTATTCTGAGAGAAGAGGAAGGCTTTCTTTACAAATGTTCACATCCATATTGTAGGTTCTCTGTAAATACAAAGCTCTTAGGAAGAACAATGCTTAAAATTGGATGCTAATTGCTTTTAAATGTTTCTTCTGTCTTTATGTCCCTTGACATCCCATACAGATTGAACTTGAATGGACAGAGGAACCAATTCTAACTCAGCTAACTTCTCTGTGTACTGAATACTGGGCCAGGTGTTTTTGCATGGCCTACACCCCACTCCCAGGCTGTGCTCCACGTTGCTCGGATGCAGTAATGCAACGCCTTGCCTGAGCTGGGTAGAGGCTGAACATCAAAGGAAGCTGACTACAGAGCCAGTGCTCTTTTGGGCAGCAATTCTTTACCCATAGTCCTTTGCAGGTTGTCTGTGCACTTCAGAAGGCTTCAGAGTATCTTACCGGATTCTAGAGAAAAATAATCTTGTGGGAAATGGCCTCTTAATTAATGCCTTTCTCTGCAGTCCTGAGGCTGTGGTCTTGGAGCAGATGGTGGCACCCTCCATTGCAGGCAGCCCTGTTCCTCTGATAGAGCTCACTCTAGGGGGAGCCACTGATCTGCAACATGGCTCTGGGGGCCAATGCAGACACCACAGCAGGTCACCTCAGTAAGCCAGGAGGCGACACCTTCTCTCTCAGGGAAAAGAGCAAGCCCTGACCTCCCTGCCCTTCACACAGGTCCTGTATGGTCATAGACCAGGTGAGTGAGGACGACCAGATCTATCACATCACTTGTCCTAAGGTGAACGGAGACAAACCCAAGGACCTTGTCGTACTCGTGTCGCGAAGAAGGCCTCCCCAAGATGGGTGAGTTCAGTATCTCCCCGCAAAAAAGATGGGTGAGTGTGCAGTTCAAGGGCTGTGGCCGCACTGTGGAGTGTAGCACAGAAATGGAAAATGGACAGGAAAGCACGGAAGTCAGCGCAGGCTGTTCCGGCTTTGAATGATACTCATTTGAATTTTTCTAGATGGATCTTTAGCTATCATTGATGCAACAATCACGTACCAGGTGCTGGTGTGAGCCAAGCACCATGCAAGGATTCTAAAGCAGTTCCTTCTTCTTTTGTTTTATATGGATGGAAACTCACATTTAGTAAACCTTTGAAACTGCCCATTAACAGTAAAGGAAAAAAAAGCAATGGAAGACAAATGAACCCCAGAAGTTGGTTTCAACTGTGCTAGACACCTGGGCCTGTAGGCCAGAGGTCCCCTGGTGGCGATTCCATTTGCACTGCATCACTCAAAGCAACTGTCTAAGGGAGTGTGCCCCAGATAACCCCATACAGGATGTCAGGGTAGTGTCATCTATTGTGTTCGAAGGCACGAGACACAGCCGAAGCCTAACCCTGAGGGGCCTCCTGTAGCTTCTGGCAAATCCATACTACCGAGCAGTGTGCAGTCACTAAATAGGAAGAAGTCATTATACAAGCACTGCTATAAAAACCTCTAAAGACTCCCTGTCTGATAAAAAACTTAATTGTACGTCATATGTGTAAGATGATCGTATTTATGCAAAACTGCATCGCTCATTTGATTATCTGGCTGTTATTATTATACGTTTGTTCCAAAGTCTACAGAGCTGCCCACCAAGTTGCAGAGAAGATTCAGAATGCTGGGAGGGGAAGGGGATTGGAACTGCAGGAAGACTTTTATATTCGAGCCTTTGGAGTTCTCTATTGTTTGGTGGTTCTTTAAAACAATAATGGTTTTTGTAATTTAAAAAACAGAGGAGGCTGAAATTACAGTTTGCAGGTTGACTCAGCTTTGTGGAGTTGTGCGTGTGCTTCTTAGGCGGGAACTCTGGTGGCCGGCTTCTATGTTAGCTCTGAACGTGGCCACAGAGACTTACAGACACAGACCCCTCATCTGCAAGAGCTGGTCTTTAGAGCCTCTTCTCGACCCAGATAAATAAATGACTCACTTTGTGGGGTGGGTGTGTGGCGTGGTGGCCAGCTCTTGTGTGGCGAGCAGCAGGACCTGGGTTGGATCCCCAGCACTACAAAGAAACAAAACCCTACACTGCACAATCGATAGGCATGTGCTTCTGGACACCCATTCCCCACGTCACACAAGAGGCTGGGACACGAGGTCTTGTCTTTCAGGGACACCTACCTGGTGGCAGCAAAGTCAGTGGTCCTGCCCACCGTGCCACCATCTCCAGGGTACACCAGAAGTGAGGTGGTGTGTGCCGGCTTCCTCATCCAGCCCGCCGACGGCAGCTCCTGCACCGTGAGTTTGATTAAACATCTGCTGTTTAGTTTTCTCTGGCAGATATGGGAGCTGTTCTCCATTCCCCTAGAAATCTGAATTACTTGCAGTCCAATATGTTGCATAGGAACACAAAGGGGATCCTAAGGTCAACCTTTGAAGATCCTCTGCAGAAAGATCCCAGCAGTTTGTGGCCGCAGCCTCCCCGGTACCAACCAAATTCAGATCCTCAAGCTCAAATGCTGCTTTGTTTTTGAAACAGGTGTCTTACCTGAACCAGATGTCAGCCAGCATCCTTCCTTACTTTGCTGGATATCTCGGTGGCTGGTCCAAATCCATCGAAGAAGCAGCAGCCTCTTGCATACAATTCATAGAGAATGCTTCTGATGATACTATATTTTAAATGGTCAACTTTCAATTTCCTGTAATTTAATTTCCCACTTTATTTCCAAGTATCCTTGCTGGGTGTTGGAGTCACAGAGTGACTGACTTTCAACCCGAGAAAAATACAGCAAGGAAGAGGTTGAAAACCAAGCTGCATCTCAATCCAATCCCAGTGACTTGGCAGAGCATTAAAAGAGTTTAAAACTCTTGTTTTGGAGGATCCAGCACTCTGCCTCTTCCAGGGCGCAGAAACTGGAGAATTGCCTGGATGCAAAACAGCACGTTCTGTAAAGTGGTACAAATTTAGGTAAAGTTATCATAAACATGTTTGGGTTACACAGGGGCTGTGTGTGCTCTGGCTGAAATTTTCCAAAGTGTAAAATGATGATTTGCTATAAATTGATTAACGTATGGCATGGTTCCGCACACAGCAGGTACTTGTGTGGCAGAGCATCTGACAAGAGGTATTACATGTTTTAGGGCTTCAGATTAGGAAGGCATTAAAACATAATAGAACCCAATCAATTTTAGTAATGGGAACTACTTTACTAGTGTCATTTTACGTCTATTCCAGTTGGTGGCCCATTTAGTATCTAGTGCTATAGATACACACACAAAGCATCTGCAGAATGTGATATTGCAGAGGAAGAGCACGTCAGCTGAGCCCTGCTCCCCTAACCCAAAGTCAGCACATCATCCCCTCGACTTCAGCCCCCATTATTCCACACTGCCATTTGTCATCCAGAATACTTCAAGTTAGCCCCCTCGAAAGGCCAGCGTTGAAAAGCTGAAGGAGTTTTCCACTAAAGTTTAGAGTGCTTACCAGATGAGATACACCCAGCTGTTAGTTTGCCAAATCTCATTTTCTCCCTCTTTGCTTGCCATGTTGCGGGTCAGACCCATGGCCTGGTGCCTGCTGGGCAAATGCTCTCCACCCTCGGCGCTAACTTTCCCAATCTCCACCTTTCCTTCCCACGTCTCCCACCCACACAGCCTGTGCCTGGTCACGATTAGTTTTGTTGGTCTGTGTCAAGAGGTTTTTGTGTGTATGAACTCTGGGCTGTGCTGCAGTTGTATGAATTAATATTTATATACAATAAAAGTAGATGCATAAATTATAATGATTATTCACTACATTCCAGCTGTAAAAGAGGATTTTTAAGAATTTTTCTTAAAAGTGCAAAACCTTTCAGACTTTTCCTGTAATTAAGACACATCTACAGGCTGTCTGCCTAGCCTTGGTCTTTGAATTTATAAGGGCTGAACTTTTCATCTGAACAAGATTAGAACTATTCTGAGGCTGAAGTGAGTAACTTCAGTGGAGTCTCTGTGAGATGTGAAAATGCGGTCCACTGTGGACCCTCTTATAAGAAGGACATGTTCTAAGACCCCAGTGGATAACGAAGCCCACGGCAGCACAGAGCCCTCCCGTCCTCACACACATATACCTATGGCGATGAACGGTGATAAATTGGGCACAGTCCAGTATTCACCGCAATAAGGAATGGGAAAATACAACAGAGACCGTATTCCATAATAAAAGTTATACAGTGTGGTCTGTCTCTCCCTCTACCTTATTAAGCCTTATTCTCTTTTTTCTTGTGGTACTGAGAGAGGATGTGTACTTACGGGATGAGATGGAGGAGGTGAGTGACATAGCCATGAATGGTGCCGCATCTGAGGACCAGTTCAGCTTCAGAGGGCTTCATGGGAGAGTAGGGTGTACCACAGGCTTCCATGGGCAAAGGGACAGCCTCTGTCCTGGCAGGATGGAGCAGTACAGTGGAAGATCTCCTCATGCTACTCAGGGTGTCACATGATTCAAAACTTATAGACTGTTTATTTCTGGAAATTCACATTTAATATTTGCAGACAGCAGTTACTGAGGGTAACTGAAGCCACAGAAAGCAAAGTCACAGCTAAAGGGGGGAGGCATGTAACAGAGGCAGAGTCCTTTTCTCACTGCTGGGACACAATACACAACGTACACAACTTGAACAGGACGGGTTTATTTTGGGTCACAGTTTCCAGAGGTGTCAGTCCATGGTCACCTGGCTGCATGGCAGGGCAGCGGGGCAGAGGGGCCTGGCGGAGGAAAGATGCTCACCACGTGGTGCACAGGAAGCAGGGAGAAGGGAGGAGCCCTCTTGTCCTCACACACACATACACACACAAGGGAGAGAGATGAACTCTTTGGGTCATGACTCCAGCACCCCTACTCTTCCCACCAGACCCCACCTCCTAATGGCAAGTCAGCCCTAAGCTTCCATAGTCCATTGCCTTTCAAAAGCCCCACCTCTGAGCTCATGAGGCTTTGGGGTGACATCCAGATGTAAACCATAGCACATACCTTTCTGCTGTTCCCCAATACAATAGCCACTAGCCACATGTGCTCTTAATTAATGTTAAATAAAATTTAAAAATAAGTTTCTAAGCCACACTAGCCCTATTTCACATTTCACCAGTCACATGTGATTAGGGACTGCTGCCGCCACCCTGGGGAGTAGAAATGCAGAAAGTCCCTGTGTCACGGGGATTCATCAGTGCCGTTAGTCTGGGCAGTATGTCCAATATAGTGACTCGAGCAGATTCTGCCATTTTCTGTTCTCATCTATCCTCATATCAAACAATCCATCTAACCTTCCTAAAACGTTTCACTTTTATGCTGCTGCAGAAAGACACAGGGCTTATCCACCTGGTTATTGGATCTTGGAATAGCCTAAATCAAAATGCTTGTTTTCAGAATTACTTGTCTTTACAGACTTTAAAAGGCCATGGGAGAAGCAAAGATGGCAATGGATGATTTTCTATGTAGGGTATTTCAATAATAGGAATCCATTGTCTGAAACAATGACACAATTAACTAACAGTGAGTCATCAGATTCAACAAGGGTTCAGGGTTGCGAGCAACAGAAACATACGAGTCATATGGTGAGTAAAATAAGTAAATAACATAGAATATTCAAAGTGCTACCTAAAAAAAATGAAGCAGACAAATAAAGAAGACAAATGCTGGGAAAGAGCTGCAAGTGGATGTTGATATTTTAAATAGAGTGAACAGGGAAGGCTTCATGGAGGACCCACTAAGCCACACAGTCAGGCAAAACCCCTGAGGGCAGTGATTTGGGGACATTCTAGGAAGAGCAGGGAGCCGAGACTGCAACAGAGTGAGAGGTAATTAAAGACAGTTGAGTTAAAGGCCACTTCCCCTATTGTCCCTGGTGCCCAGACCTTAGGCAAATGCGATTTCCCCAAGGATAAGCAGGTTGCCTGGTTCATCCACTGTGAGCCCCTGGAGAAGCAGGACAGAGAAAACAGAAAAATAGAGCTTTCCTTTGCAGTGTCAAAGTCTCTTTCAAGAATGCTTACGATGCCCTGACTGTTTTATGGCAGTGTTTTCAAGTGCCTCTCACAGTACTGAAAGTTTTTGGATTAAGAAAACAGGCTCATTTCTACTCATTCTTCCTGGTTTTAATGCAACCAAGTTGCCATCTATATCTACATATTGTATCACCTTTCTAATAAAAAAATCTAGAGAAAAAAAATGTGGAAAATTGGTCAGAAAATTGTGCTCAAACACCTTTAGGAAATGGTGATCATTTTGGATAAAAATTGAAATAAGCCAGATTTTGTTTATATATACCATCACATGGTTTTGTTCATATTTCTCATGGCATGTCTTAGAAATTGGAAATTGTTACTGGGCTAGTTATAGGTTATAGTTTTGAGAGATACATGCAAAGAAATAAGTTTTGTGCTTTGGGATAAATTATTACAATGAGAACTATTAAGTTTGTTCATGATTTACTTCTCATTTAAGTATTGGGACAAGAAGCTCACCACGGCCGAGTGCTCTTTCTCATTCTCACCGAGGGCACCAGCTCACTAGGGTTACCTGTCTCCTGATTCTGAGCATCAGGTCAAGATGACCACAGTTTGGATTCAATGTAACCGCGAACTCTGGGTGGGACACTGGGAGCTGACTTTTTTGCTGCTGGCTACAGTGCTGGCTACTTGCTCAAAAAAATCCTAAGGCCTGGGTAAGGCCTGGGTCCCTCAGCTGTGACACAACCTACTCTGCTTATCACATACACACGCACCTGTCTTGTTACTCTGGTGGGTTTGAGGAGGAAAAGAAAGTGATATAAATATATTTATACTTGTGTCACTAGGTGTGTCGTGAATAATGCAGTCCTTTGTCTCTGAATCAAGAATCTTGTGTCTTCTGCCAACATCCACCAAACAGTAACAGTTAACTTATTACCTTATTGAGGCTCTTAGACCCTTCACAGTGACCCAGCTCAGTATTAGAAAGTCAGATAAATCTAAGATTCCTGCCTTTCTTCACTTTATACCTGGAAGTATGAAGTGCCATATAAAACATAAACAGCTAATGCCACCTTTCACTTCCCTTTGGGGGACATTTTCAGGAACCTTTAAAAGTAAAGTAGAAATGAATATTTATACCATTTTACAACTCCTTTGCCCCTCTATGTCCTCTCTTCTTTCCTTGCTCAGCTAAGATTCCACTGCCTATCATTATAACCACTTCCTGGAAAATATCTGTACCCATTTCCTTTCACTCAATTTCTCCAACAAAACCCTAGCCAAAGCTAAATAAATACTTCACCCCTGTAACATGTAGCTGGAAATTGTGGAATGGTCTCACTTTAAATTTCTGACCACAAATTTCAGTACCCAGATGTGAGATGATCCTACTACTCTTCACGTGTACACACTGTTTTATGCTGCCTCCTCTGCCCTCTGTCTTTCCTCGTCTCTGGTCCCACTTGAAACACAAGCTTTAGAAAATACTTCACTGAGGAGATATAAGCCACTAGGAAGGGGTCTCCTCATATTCTCACATGTGCATCTTCCACATCTCTACTTTTCCCTCATGTTAAAATGGATGAACTGGCTCTAAGCTGGCAAAGAACAATTTTTCTAACCTTACAGCTTCTCTCTTCAAATCTCTGCTCTTCGTTATTGGCATGAGGTTTTCTTTACCCTTCCTTCCTTCCTTCCTTCCTTTCTTCCTTCCTTCCTTCCTTCCTTCCTTCCTT